GCATCGGCAAACGCAAACTATCCCCGCTGGGACTGCCCTCTAGGCAATGCTCCGCACTCTAGCGAAGCATCATCAAACGCAAAGAATGAAACAAATTGCCCCCACTGGGACTGCCCTCGAGGCAGTGCTCCGCAGTCTAGCGAAGCATCGGCAAACGCAAACTGTCCCCGCTGGGACTGCCCTCTAGGCAATGCTCCGCACTCTAGCGGGGCATCGGCAAACGCAAACTGCCCCCGCTTGGGCTGCCCTCTAGGCAATGCTCCGCACTCTAGCGAAGCATTGGCAAACGCAAACTGTCCCCGCTGGGACTGCCCTCTAGGCAATGCTCCGCACTCTAGCGGAACATGTAAACCTGCGTGTAGAAACAGGAATAGCTGCGTCTCACAGCTCAAACCGCAATCCAAACACCGCGAACGGGAGGCACCCTCCCGCCCCTCTCGCAGGGCACGGGAGTCCGGAACCTCCAGGCATTAGCTTCTAGGGATCTGCCAGCCCATGAACAAACGAGACCGGAGGATCTTCTTCCAGTCACTCAACGAAAAGAATCTACCAGGGTAGATGTGTCTTTATTTTTTTAAGCTAAAACTGCGAGAAAATTCAATAACGACATCAGATCGGAAAGCGAGGTGATACAAGCCAGCGCCTTTGCAGCGATCTGTGCTACGTTCTGCGTACAGCCGGCGAAGCCTCAAGATTGAGGAGGCATGGAACGACAATAAATATCACGCCGTACACAGCTTGCCATCAAAAGCTTCTGAGATCTCCAGGCTGAGTGACCAGTCGTTTTCCATCATTGGGTCTGCCGCACGCCTGGCCGATAAGTCCTGTATAATTCTGCCGCAGACGAAAAGCTCCGGCGCATCGGGTAAAATGACTCTTCTGGTTTTCGTGCGGGAGATAGCATTCGCGGTATGGATTGCAAAAGTGTCTGGGTCTGGAAGATTGCAACTTGTCATGCTAAATCCGAATCATGCAGAAATCTGTGTTGCATGAGTGCCAAAAGCTGTCCCCTTTTGACCAAGTTGAGAGGGAGTTTCTCACGCAGGAGAGGCATGATAGAGACCTCAAAGAATCTGTCATGCTGCGTCTCGCATTCCAGACCTCATAAGTCAAGGAAAAGCTGCATCACAAATCTTGCATTCTTCCAGACCCAGACATTTTTACACTTCATACGCGGTGCGATCTGCCCAAGTACTCGGGTCCTCACCAGGAGCCGGCATATCCCACGAAAAAAGTGTTACAGTTACACATTTGGCGTCAATTCAGCAACACAAATATCTCCGCATGAGAGAGAAAACTTGCATTGCTGAAATCCTACGGGAAAACACGTAAGAAACAAGGTTTGAAAGCATTTCGTGCATGACAGAGGTTGTCTGCCATGCGTGTTTTGAAAAACAATCAATGTGTAACTGTAACACTTTTTTCTTGCGATACGGCACGATCGTTCGATGCTGGCCCGAATCCGCGTCCCGTACGACAGCGTGCCATTGCCATTTTGTATCCCAGGCCAGCTTATCTTTTGCTTCGTTCGACAGATCGACACCAGGTCCTCCCGCTTCGACGACTAGCCGGAAATGCGGGGTGGGCTCGGCCACGATACGACGGTCGTAGCGATAAAAGTAGGCTGGCGCTCCAGATGGTAGTAGATTGGCGCCCCGCCGAGGACGCCAATAGATGGTGTAGGATGATGCGGGATCAAGGAGTGTACGGTTTGTGGCCATTTCAGCGCTTTGCAGGTCCGGTCGCTTCAAAACCGCTTCCAGACGACGCAAAAAATACTGGAAGCTCTCATCCAAAGGGCCGACGTAGTCAGAAATGATCCTCGATGTGGCAGCAATTCTTGTCCCCGTGGATTGATGTTCCCCTCCGTTCTGATCGAACTGCTGCAGCACCGAGGCAGTCGTTCCGCCTGTAGTAGTAGCAGCGCCGGATTTTTGCTCAGAAGTCGTGGTCCGGTAGGACAGCAACTGCTGCGCGAAACCAAAAGCCATCGGGGGGACCGGCGTTGTGCTACGGAACCGGCGACTCACGCTTCGAAGCGCGAGGAGGGGGTGCGGTGCATCTGCATCTGCATCCCCCTGCGCGGGCGAGCCGAGCATGGGCAGCTGAATGAAACGCTTCCGGGACTTTTGCATTAGATGGACGGCAAATTTTCTTGCCGCCTCTTTGACGCGATCGGTCAAAGGACCGTAGTAGTAGTCTGGACCTGGAGTAGAAGCCAACCGGCTTTCCCAGCTGCTTTCCGCGAGAAAAGCCGCCAACTCGGTACGCATCTTCTCCGCCAGCGGGCCTCGTGCCCGCCCGGGGAGCACCAGGGGCCGATAAAGTTCCGGCGTCGCCGCCCATTCCGGCGTCGTATGGATTGTAAAAATGTCTGGGTCTGGAAGGATTCGAATTTGTGATGCGAAGTCTACATCATCATACAATCTGTCATGCATGGCTAGCAAAACGCCCCATGTCTTGTTTCCGAGAGAGAGGATTTGTCATGCGGATTAGGCATTGGGATAAGTGCTCAAAATCTGTGATGCTAGAGCTTGCATGCCGGACGATCTGGGTCAGGCAAAAACTGCATGACAGATCTCGCATTCTTCCAGACCCAGACATATTTGCAATCCATACGTCGCCCTGTCGTGCAACAAGGAGTCGAAAACTTCGTGCAGGGGATATCCTGAGTAAAAACGTACCCACACCAGAGTTGTAATGCAGATTTGCAAAGACAGGAACACTTGTAATGCGCATCCCCATGAGAGCCATTTCCAATCGTGTTTTGGAATTTGTGATGCTGTGAACAGGCTGAGTAGCTGGATTTGTGACGCGGCTGCACTTTCTAACCTGCACTACACTGCAGAGCGCAACTTGTCACGCGTGACGCACAAAACTCCTAGGTTTGTGTTGCAAAATCCCCATCCTGACTCTGGTGTGGGTACGTTTTTACTCAGGATAGGGGAGTGGCGTTGTTTTCCAAGTACGGACAGACTCTATTTGTCCACGTGTCCTTGTATGGAGAAGTAAATTAACTTAAAATGAAGACCATCACTCGGCACTGAGTTCCAATTTTGGCATCTGAAGGAACTTTTAAATGTTGAAGGGTTATGATGTCATGCGCTGTATCTTAGCCATCTAGCATGCTGCAGGCACGTGCTCGTCCTTCATCTGCTCGTATTCTGATTTATTAGAGCGTCGCGGCTCCTGCCTGCAAATTGTACAAATGCAAAGTGGTTTGTTTACAACATGTAGTGTTGGCGCCTCATTTGTTGTTCCACCTCCTGGGATACGTCTGCAATATCCATCGACGTAGCTGCACCAATCGACAATGCTCCCGATGGTACGCTCGAGGCGGCAACCTCCAGGTGATCCGCTGTAGTAGTGCGGGGGGAACTCTTAAATTTCTGCGAGGCCTGGTGCGTCGAAGCCTGCACCACAGCCAGGCATGTTGAGCTGGCAACGATACAGGCACGTAACGGCAACAACCGCAGGAATACACTACTTCTCGGCGACATTATCTCCACTCCTACCTTGTGAAAACAAATTATATCTTTAGTCAAAATAAAACTGTCGTTGTCTACCTCTCTAGGCGACAAAAAATGCTGTTAAGCACAACGAACCAGCAAAAATTGTGCTACTTAAGTGTAGAAGTGTCAGGCTTCACCTACAAGCTGCAATCTCAACCTGATGTAGAAGTCAGAACAATAGGTCGTGGGGGCAAAACGAACCAGACAGCCCACGACGGCAGATCGGTCAGACAAAAAGATCGCGTGGCCTCGTTTTTTAGCAGGCTTGTTGCGGGGACCCCTGGGCGATCTTGAAATTCTAGAAAACCAGTTTTGTTCGTTCTCATGCGGTTTGTTGATCAAGAACTTCTTCGCAGTTTGGGAGCTCAAAGTTTCGGTTTGTTATGCAAAAAGGAGCTCAACTATGAGATCGTCTGAGCGATTCAAAATCAAGCGATTCAAAATTTTTTCTTCACATATCAGGGATTTCCTGACTCTTGAAAAGAGCAGCAGCATTGCTGTGCTGCATTTGACATGTTTTTTTGCGCTCGTCGAAACGTCACCCAGAAGAGTGTCAAACGAAACAGCAAGGCCGATCTCGACTTGAGCTCGTTACTTTGGCATGTGTGAACGCAATAAAACTAAGGGCAAGGCGAGCGCCTGCATTCATGAACCCGGAGCATTTGAAGAAGCAAGGGCCAACAGAGTAGGCGATCCAACAGATGCCTCTCAGGCCCACACCCTCCACTACTTGGCCCCAAAACGTGGCCGCAACCGCTGTCGGAAATAGCGGCTTCACGTGAGCGGCGGCAGAGAGGCGACGGGCTACGCACCTAAAAAAGCAGGGCCGTCCCCAGCCGGAGCTAGTCAGAGTGGCGCCAGCGCGCGGCCCATTATTCTGCCACCGCCTAGGTGGCGTTGTCTCCTGCGCGGTTTTTCTCGCATACATACAAAGAATAAGGGGCTGAAAGCCTAGCGACGAAAAACGCGCCCGCCGTTGTGTAGTGAGGGCCCCAACCCCGAAACAATGCGGCGCCACTCTCGTCATCCGTTTTGCTTTTTCTCTTGGTTGCGGGCCACGAAAAGTCCGCCAGACCTCTTGTGGAGGAAGGTGGCGTGGCCGATTTCAGTTTGGGCTACGGGCGTTGCCACCGGGAGAGGGAAAAACACGACGCGCTGCGGCCGCATTGCCAAACATGGCACAGCGCCACCGCATAAAAACACATAACGCCTGCGCCGCCAGGCTACCCAGGGGCCCGGTGCTAGCGGTGCGGACTTTTGGCAGCTTTCTAAATGTGCTGCTGAGCATGCCGCCTTGGCCGGGCTTACGATGTGCTATGTCTCCACTTGAGCCCACCCCACGGCAGCTTCTGCGCCTTTCCTGTAGTTGCCTGTGATCGGTGGGGCAGCGTTTGCCGGTCCCCCCACCAGTGGAAGACCCTCGTCTCTGGCCGGCGGCCTTTCTGTTCGTGGCCCTTTTCTTCTGGCCGCCAAAGTTTATTGGGCAACAGCGCGGGGCTCCGCCTGTATTTCTTCAGCTTTGGCGCCGTGCATCAGCCGCGTGCCGCCGTGTATCCGCCAAAAACCTGCACAAAAAGAGCTGATCGCGGCACTTTTTGAATAGAATGTAAGGCGGAAAGTGCAAATTCCACGGTTTTGCAATTTGCCGATTCAAATGAGGTCCTTTTGAATCGCCGAAACCCTTCAAAAAGGACCTCTATCGAGATCCAGCATACCGTCGTGATTCCGGCTCTCGGGGGAGGCCAAAAAGGGGGTCCCGGATTGACCCCCTTCAGGAGCCGAAATCGGCCAAGCGCGACGGTATGCTCAAGAACAATGGAAAATCACGAATCGCGACGCTATGGCGCGGCCCTCTTTCATAAATAATGACCTCCACACCTTCGGCACCATGCCCGCCCCGCCCCTTCCGAGCGCCGCTACAAGGCTTGCAAAGCCCCGCCATCAGCTCCGGACCCGCCTGCGACCCCCGGGAAGCCTCTCTCTGCGCGACTGGCTCCGCCGGCGCCCTTTCTCGTGCCAGACGGGGCCCACAACAACGCCCAGCCGCCCTCGCGACTCCCCCCAGAGCCGCCCCTGTCGCGAAGCTGATACCCGCGCCCCGGCGACGTCAGTCCACCAAGTAGCCCACGACATTGGCCCGCTGGCGGACTTGCCAAGGGGCCGGGCCCCCCAGTGCCATAGCAGCCGTGGGGCGCCTGCGCCCCAAACCCTCGGCGCCTTGGCCCGCCCTTCTTTGCATCTACACGGAGGAAACAACGCACCTGTGCGCCGCGTTTGTTGCTTTTTTTGTTGGCAAAGTAGCCCGCGCGGTCTCCGTGGACCTGGTCGAGGCTGTCGCAGGTTTACAGCCTTTACGCGAGCAGGCCCAATGGCATGCCCACCACGGCGCACCAGAAGCCGCCACGCCCGGCGGTCGGCCCGCTTGGGTTTTGGAATGGGCGCTGAGTTGCCCTTCACATGGCTGACGCGCGTTTTTCCCGGTACACAACGAACTTGGCGGCACTGTTGCGTCTTGTTTTTCCGATCATTTCATGGCTTCCCGCGCACTCGCTGACTTCATCCCCTGCTTTGAAGCCTGTATAAAATGAAGTAGCTGCCTCAAGTTGAGGATGGCCACGCTGGCTTCTTTCGTAGTCTTTTGCGCGTCGTTTGGGTGATTACAAAAAGCGGCAAAAGCCGCACCATGTTGGTGGCCTCCTTTTTGTTTAAGAGTCGGAAGCGCGCCAAATACGGAAGCGATTTCTGCTGCCGCCTTACCTTTCCAGACACACGACGAAGATTCATTTCGCAGAAGGCAGCTGCGTATCTGTATTTGGAGGGAAAAAATGACCTCCAAGAACAGCCAATGTAGATAGCTCAAGTTGACGTCGGCCCACATATTTTACTTCCATAAGCTGGCGCCGACATCTCCGCCACTTACCTGAAACTGCTCCGCGCGACGCCGAATCCGGGGACGTTTTGGGAGCAGTTGATGGGATGCGTTTTATTTGAAAAAAAAATTTTGAATCGCTTGGGTTTGAATCGCTCAGACGATCCCATATCAACCCCGGAAAAGCAAATCTGTGTTGCAAAGGTGAACAGCTTCGGAACTAAGATCTTGAAGGTCTTCATCTTCCCAGATCCGAATAATGAAAAAAGTCGAAATTGAACGAAGCGATCGAGGGAACGACGTGGCGCAGCCAATTTTAGAAATGAGTCTTGATCAACATCTTTTGATCCGCAGCTATATTTATAGCATAATCTGTTCTTCACGCGCATCAACCTCCTCAGGAAGATGGCGGCACTATGATCCTGGGCTCAGACGTTGGTACGACACAGGCATCCTGCCTTGACATTCCATTTTCCAGATGCTCTACTTGGTCATCCTCTGAATCGTCTCTTCTCCTTGTAAACTAACACTGAAGATTTTGGCCGATGGAACACTAACAATCAACGACGAAAGGAACAAGAGAAGGGAAGTTTTATCGCACTTTCAAGTGCTTTGTCAAAACCTCAGTCAATCAATGAGGTCTTTCTATTTCCGTAAAAATTGCAGGCTTCATATAATTCTCGGGGGCATAGTGATAATTTTAAGTACAATTTTGTCTTCAACTCACAGACTCGAACTCGGCCTGTCTGACATTGAAACGAAAAGTGATAGCAAGCTGTCACGAAATCATACAAGATGCGGGGAAATACCAGCTCGGTGGTCCTCGTAAACTTTTCCAGAATTCTTGCTCTGCGTGACTATGATCAACAAACTTAGCATAAATTAGTACCTCGGAGTGAAACATTGTTCTAAAAAATAGTAGGAGAGCGCGCGGCGAGTACATTGAATGCGAGATCATTGCTGCACTGCAGCAACTTAGACTGATAGAAAGAAGTTTCTTGTTCAAACACTTCTACGCAAAGCTGCTTTTGCGTTGATTTTTCTCTACTTGGTACAGGACGAACAGGATGCATTTTATCACGAATTTTTGTTTTTCGGAGTGGTCAAACAATACAAAATATCAACATCAAATTCAAAGAGCCTTTACGCGTTTAATACAAGCATATGTCTCTTCCGGTGGTGGAAATGATTCATCAACTTTCTTCGTATACTAGAAAACGTAGAGGTAGATTCTTATAAAACAGCTTTCGACCCGTTAGTTACTCTTCTCGCCGCATGGTTCGGGCCTGCCGAATCCTCCGCGGGGGTACCTGCTGGTGCACCAACAGCCGGTGATGCTCTTCAGCATGCCCGTCTTCCGCCGCCGGTGCGTCCTCCTCCTCGTCCTCCTCTCGCAAGACCTCTTCCTGGACGAAGTGCTTTCTACTGTTTGCATTTGTAGTCCTACTTGCAGGTCTGTTCTTTCTCCCATAAGAGTTCTTCTCTCTGTCCGGGCTGGAACTTGTTGTTTTTCCGCGGTTCATCTCTGGGTGTGCTTCTACTTGTTCGCGGTGAAGCAGTGTCGACGGCGGAGAAATTTTCTTGATATTGTTAGTACTGTGTAACGACAACTTTTTTGTTGACGCACCATGTTGCTCATCCTGCTCCAATATTTTTCTCGTCGGCGGCACTTCTGGACTACTGTCTCTAGTACTGCTTCTGCTTGTAGTAGTTTTCCCAACTTTATTCTGCGACTTGTGCTGGTACTCTGCCAGTGCCATTTGGTTCGCAGAGAGGTGTTGTGCGTGCATCAAATGGCGCTCGTCCTGCTTGTTCTGCTCGTAGTTATCCGCCAATAAATGCTGAACATCTTCTACCGCTTTCACCACCCTCTGCCCCGGCACGTGCTGCACTTCTGGATGAAAAGCTGCAAGCACTTCCGCAATTCGCTCCGCATCTTCGTCCTCGAACTCCTCTTCCTGATTGTTGGGCCCCTCATCTGCAGGTCCTCGTTCTAGTGCTTCCGTGTCGACGCCCTCGTTGTCGTTTTCATCTGCGCCTGGACTTGGTTCATCATCCATCTCATCGGCTCCTCCAGCCTCGGGTTGTTCTTGTTCTTCCTCCGAGGGAGGTGGCGTTTCCTCAAGAACTCGAGCAGACTCCACATCATCATCGTCTCCTGCACTCGCAGCTGCACCTCCTACTGCGTCTCCTTTTGCGGTCTCAACAGCTTCATCTTCTGGAGTCGCAGGTGCTGGAGCACCACGACCATGATCTTCATCACTACCTGTGGACGACGAGAGCGCAGGCGGCGGAGAAGACGGCACAAGCTCTTCCTCCGACGTCGCACCAGCAGAAGTTCCTGCAACTACTTCCGAGTCGTCCGACTGTTCGCCAATTATTGCAGTCTCCTCGTCCTCGACCCCTTCATTGCTCGACGGGGACACGACAGACTCAGCGCCTGCTTCCTCTTCCGCAGGAGCAGATCCGTTTATTTTCTCAGCTGTTTCTTCGAGATTTTCGTCATGTTGATCTGGTGCTTGGTCCGCATCTACTTGTGTGGAAGGGGTACTTCTAGACGGGCCTTCATTTTCGGGAATATTCTGCTCCGGAGCTACTTCCACCTCCTGCTGTTCTTGATCGTCCGTCCCAGGTGTTGTATTTTCACTTGTTTGATGCCCAGCAGAATTGCCGCTGTCGGCCTGTGCGCGGCCATCCTCCAGCTCTTCTTGTTCATCCTGCTGCTCGGTCGGCAGTTCTTCAGAGTGCGGTGACTCGCTTTCTTGTTTTTCCTCTTCCGTCGGCGGACCATATGGCGTTCTCAAACGTTACATTCTCAGCTGTTACATGAATTTGTCATGCAAAAGTGCCTTGAGCCGGCAGATGATCGAGCTGCTTCGCATGACAAATTTCGGAAAGGCTAGACAGCATCTAAATCTGCGCCAAACTTGTAATGCAAAAGGTACAATCTTCCTCCTTTCACTTTTGCCAGTCTTGCATTACAAATTCATGTAACAGTTGAGAATGTAACATTTGAGAACTCCATAGACCATTTTTCTCTTGTTGTGCAGCTGTGTTCAACATGTTCTCCTGCTCCTCGTCAGGCACAACAACATTTTTATCTTCCTCCGCAGGAGCCGTCTCGACCACTTGCTCATCCGTTGTCGCCTCTTCATCTTCTTGTGCACTGCAAATATGTCTGGGTCTGGAAGGTTGGAACTTGCAATGCTAGTCTTACATTCCTGGTAGATCTGTATTGCATGACCAACAGAAGTCGCAGCCTCTCTTGTCATACAAAGACGCAGTTTCTCATGCAGGGTGCGTATAATGTGGAAGGGTTCTGCAAACTTGTCGTGCTCCCCTGCCTGAGGGAGCGTTTTCCTCATGCACATTTTAGCATGACAAATTTGAAATTTCGAGACCCATACTACACATTTGCATTTCATATTTCTTGTGCCTCATTGATGTTGTTCACCTGGTCCACCGGGTCGACGTTCATATCCGTTTCAGTTTGTCTATTTGACACGACTGAAGGCACTTGATGGTCCTCTGCAGCTCCGCTTTCCGAAATATTAACGCTCTGCTCGTCCGCCTCTTGTTCTACTACTTCCATCGGTGTAGCAGCAATACCATCAGTAAAAACATCTTCACCCCCGCCGGTTGTAATGTCCTCTCCTTTATCAAATGCAAAACTGTCTGGGTCTGGAAGATTCTGAGACTTGTCATGCACGTTTTGCATGAGGCATGATGTCTGTGATGCATACCGTAGCATCACAGATTTTTCGAGGGGTTCTTGATGCCTATTTCGCATGACAAATGCCCTATCCGCGTGGCAATAGCAAAAAGTACATTCCCTTTGCTCCTCATGCAATGCAAATTTTTTTGGAATCCCAATGCAGCGTCACAGGTTGCATTCTTCCAGACCCAGACATTTTTGCATTTGATATCCTTGCCGCTCTTGCTCTTCTTCATCTTCGTCCGAAGACATGATTTGATTTTCAACATCTGAGTCGTTTGTTTTTACTACTTCGCCGACTTGTTCAGGATCGATTTCTGCTGCTGGTTGTGCAGGATCGTCTTCTTCACTGGTGTGATGCTCTGCTTCTGAGTCCTCTTCTTCCTCATTGCTGTCCTCGGCAGATGAAGCAAGAGTGGTCGCAGGTGTGTCGTCTGTAGTAGTTGCGCCACCCTCCGCCTCCGCGTCCGCGTCACCCTCCGCATCCGCGTGTTCATCTGGTACTTGTACCTCTGGCCCCGGTTGCTCCACCTCCCCGTCTGCATCCACGTCAACTTCCTCTCCTTCATCATTCTCCGCTGCTGCATCCTGCTGCTGCTTCTGCTGCTGCTGTAGTAGAGCCGCGGGTTGCTGACCCACCGCCGTGGTCGAAGTGGTAGTAGTTGTCGTGTTGGTGTCATTTTTGTCTGTCAAATTAAACCTCGCTGTGAGGGTCGTCGTGACCTCTCCCGGCTCTCCGGTGAACGCGTTCCCGGCTGGCATGGGCTCTGTCGGCGAGAGTCCGGATCTAGCGAGCGCAAGGCCGACCGACGGCTGGTCCGCACGGCTGAAAACTGCGTAGTACCTGTTTTTTTAACATCCTGTAGTTTGTTGGTCCTCTCGTGTGTAAGAATGTCCAGAAAACAGGTCTGTAGCGCGCATGGCACTGTCCTGCGAAAGAGTGAGCGCACGGTGCGCACGAGAGATAGATGTGTTTGAAGAAATGTTGAAGTGACTGTATCAGGAGCAGAGCAAAGTACTAAAGCTTCTAAATCTAGTAGAAAGTTAATAGTTAGTACTTCCGCATGAAGGCCATTCCCGCGACGATCGCGCCACCCGGAATGCTTTCATTCGGAATGTATCCTGGGCAAAAACATCCCCACCCCAGAGTCAAGATGGGGACCTCGCAACACAAGGCGAGAAGTTTTGGGAGTCACGCATGACAATTTCCTCTCTGTATTGTAGTGCATGTGCAGTTTAGCAAGCGCAGCAGTGGAGCATAAAGCACTCTACTCATCCTGTTTTACAGCATTACAAAGTTCAAAACGCGATTGGAAATGCCTCTCATGGGGGTGCCTCAGCTCTTTATATGATTGACTGCAAGTCCAAATCTGCCTGACAACTATGGGGTGGGGACGTTTTTCACTCAGGATAGAATGTCCAAGGGCGTCATTGCCAAACTGCACATCATTTCCCCCTGGTCCACCTCTGCGAGACTGCTCGCGCCGCCTTCTGCACCGCGAAGCCTGCTCTTTGACAACTTCAATTTTCGTCGGGCCGCGGCGGACGCGGACATTGTTGTTGGCAAAGTCGCAATCATGTAGTCGTCCCTCGTCAACCGCATCGGCCGCACCTATCAAATGCAAAAGTATCGTACGGTACTCGTAGAAATGCATCACAAATTTTCTCAGCATGAAAAATTAAATTCGTAGTGCGGATTTACCTTAAGGAAGAGATTTGTAATGCATGATTGCAATTACTACGAGTACGATACTTTTGCACAGGATAGCACCTCCCCGGCAGCATTTCTCAAGTGAAACGTCAGATCCGCGTAGATGTTTTGTTGGTACGCCACGTCGCGGCACCGCCGGTCTGGCAACAGCCGTTTTAACTCCCGGTAAACATGTTTTGGAATTGTGAACAGCCTGTATCCACTGCAAATGTGTCAGTCTGTGCATGGAACAGTGATTTGAAACTTGTGACGCTACTATAGGATTCTTATTCTAAAAAACGCTGCATTTTTGCCTGAGAGAGCAGTAAGAGGAATCAAGTTTTTGCTACGCGGACGAGAGGGCAACATTTTTCATGCGGGATAAGTTGATCAAGAAACACACAGAAAATCTAATGATGCTAGGGCATACTTACATCATGAGAGAATCATCCTCATGCATCATGCACAACGTGCATGACAAACATTGCACTCTTCCAGACCCAGATGACATCATACATGCAGTTGATAGACTGGTGCCGGAATCTATGATGAGGTTTTTCACTGTTACGGGGATATCGTGATTCCGCAGCTTTTTCTCATCCTCCGGGGACAGACCACTACCACCGGGAGAATTATATTTGTATGCATTGCAAAGGCATCGCATCGTACTAGTATGAATTGCATTACAAATTTGCTCAGCATGAGATGAACTGGAATTTGTCATGCTGTTCTACCTTAAGGACAAGACTCGTCATTCATAATTGCAAGTAGTACGTGTACGAGTACGATACTTTTGCACAGGATAACTTGCCCACTGGGTCGATATTATTTGCCGTTTTAGAATCTTCCTGCTCGCCAGTGTTGTTGTTGGTTTCGTTGGACGATGTTGTACTGTTCTTTGTCGAATTGTTGGACGATGGGTCGTCACCGAGTGTAGAAATTGTCCGGCTGCTCCCAGTACTGGTGCTCACGGAGTGCTGTTGGTGACCACGCTGGCCGTGATGGTGCACCGCCGCTTTTGATGTAGACAACCCCGATTTGGAGGTTCTCAGTTGTTCTGTCGTTGTAGTTGTTCCTGCGAGATGTGGCTCTTGTTCAGAGGCTATTGTTGTTGTACTACTTCTCGCTCCGTGAATATAATTCTCCTGTTCTTCTTGCAAAGAAGACGTGCTGTGTCGGTGCACAGCGATACCCGGCAAGGAATTGGAATTCATTTTCGCATGATGATCCGTAGTCTTCGCATTCGCACGCCGGCTGTGTCGAACAAGTTGCACCTGCTGCTGAGGTAGTTCAGGCTTGGCTGCGGCTGGTGTCGGCCAGTTGTGTTCTTTATTCGAAACCTGTGAAGAATCATCCGCATCGAAAGATTACTTTTACAATTGCCAGCTGACATACGCTACTTCTCGTTCTCCCTGAGGTGAAACCTTTACTCCACATGAATTGCATTCTTGCAAAAAAACCTTGCACCTGGGCGCAGAGCAGGAGGACAGATCCTAAGTACTTCAAAACAAGATCACATCTCATAGAACAAAGATAGATACTTACCGACGGTCTCGTCCCCACGACCGCCCGCTGCCTCTCCTGCCGCTTTTTCTCCCCGATCCTGACTCGGTACCGGTGCATCTCTATCCAAGGAAAAAAGTGTTACAGATACACATTTGTAATGAACTCAGCATCACAAATTTGCCTCGCATGACGGAGAAAACTTGTAATGCAGAGATCATAAGGCAAAACACACACGAAACGAGACCCGCAAGCATTTTGCGCATGACAGAGGTCGTCTGCCTTGGGTGTTTTGCAACACAATGTGTAAGTGTAACACTTTTTTCTTTGCATAACCTGGTCTCTCGCCTCCCGCAAACTGACCATAGACATGAGCTCTTTACTCGACTTCCGGATTCGGTTCAGGTGCTTCGCATGAAGATCATCCATCTCGGCGGTGCTACTGCTCGTCGTCCCTGAAAAATGCCGTGAAGATGCACCGGACGTCGATGAACTTGTCTCTCCGATTTGCAGAAAAGACGTACTAGAAGTAGTAGTGCCTACTTGGTCTTGTTCAAAACTTTCGCCTTCGTCTTCCTGGTCCTGCGAAGAAGATGATTTTTTGTCCTTTCCTTCGCCTAGAATCTCTTCCATCAGCACTTTCCTAGCAACCGACAGCATCCGCGGCTTGACCACCCCAATCCGAGTGCTCCGTGTCGACGCTTTATTTCTTGTACTTGGCTTGACCGGACTCCTCTCAGCATAGTACTCTTCCGCCAACTGATCCTCCAGATCGGGCGTGAAGAGATACCGCACAACGTCTTCCGCAATCTTCGAGAGCTCCTTATCCAGCACGTTGCTTGTTGTACTAGCAGGCGCTGTCTTCTGTTTTTCCCTCCTCGTTGAGGTTCTTCTACCACCTGCTCCCGTCGTGGTTTTTCCGCTGTGCAGGGACGAAGGAGAAGCGGAGGAAACAGTAGTACCAGATTTATTCGCAGAGGAGCGACCCTATCAAGTGTAAAAATGTCTGGGTCTGGAAGAGTGCGCGACTTGTCATGCAGCTTTTCCATGACCCATGAGGTCTGGAATGCAGGACCTAGCATGACAGATTCTGTGCGATCTTTCTCATGCCTGTCCTGCATGAGAAACTGCCTCCCGACTTGGTCAAAACTGGACGACTTTTGGTAATCATGCAACACAGATTTTTGCACGCTGCAGATTTAGCATGACAAGTTGCATTCTTCCAGACCCAGACATTTTTACATTTAATAGACCCGACGTCCCGAAAATTGCATCCACAATGTCCTTCAGAGGGTCAGCGAGAGTTGTATCTCCTGCACCTGGTTTCATTTTCACCTGATTGCCGTCGTCCTGCACCTCCTGTCGCCCTGCTGTACTACTACTACCCGTGGTTGCCGTTGGAACAACTGCGGCGGTTGAGTTGCTTTCCGCGCTGGACAGCACTCTCTGACTTTGTTCCCTGTCCTGACCCGCAGCCAGCCCCGTGCTGTCTCCGAAAATGTCCGCGAAGGGGTTCTCGTCGTTTTTTTCAGCGGTGGTCGTTTATCAAATGCAAAAGTGTCTGGGTCTGGAAGAATGCAAGTTTGTGATGCTTGTCTGGCATGACTCGAGAATCTGTGTTGCATAGGCACGAAAAGGCCCTCTTACCTGTCATGCGAAAATGCAGTTTTCCATGCGGAATACGTATAGACATGGCAGCCAAGAAATTTGTCATGCATAGCTGCGCACTGCGGTGCGTCTATCATTCACTTTTAGCATTACATACAAGCTTCCAGACCCCGACATTTTTGCAGTGCATATGGTCGTTGTGGGAGCCACGTCCTCACTCGAGGCGGCGTCAGACCCGAAAATCCCGTCACCACCGCCAGCACCGCCTAGCGCACCAGCTCCGTCCCCGCCAAACAGTTTCGCGATGATATCGAGAATCAGAGGTATGGAAAGAAAAAAGTTTGTCACAGTCACTAACTTGCAGCTTTTGCATTACAGATTTTCTTAGCGTCACAAATTTTCCTTGTATTGCAGAAACACTAGGGAAACCTCCTATGGAGTTTAGCTGCGATGCATTTTTACGCATGACAGAAAGTTTTGTATTGCAAAAATGCGCATGAGCGATCGTGACAAACTTTTTTTGTTTGATAAGAGGGGACAAAGTGGTAGTAGAAATTGTCGTGGTGTACATCGGAATCTGTTTCTGCCTTGTATGGATTGCAAATATGTCTGGGTCTGGAAGATTGTAAACTTGTAATGCTGTCTCTGTATTCTAAAAAAATTTGTATTGCATGACCAGCAAGAGGACTCCAGTTTGTGTTACGCGGACGAGAGGGCATTTCTCATGCGGTAGAGGCATCACAAAGTCCTCCAAAAATCTGTGATGCTAGGGCATGCATCACAGACATCGCGGGTCATTCAAAATATGCATGACAAACTTGGCAATCTTCCAGAAGCAGACATATTTGCACTTGATACCTTGGCGCGCTGTACAACACCGATCTTTCCCCGTCCATTTCGACCAGGGAATTCGCTAGCGTCAAGTCCACCAACTCCACTGCCCAGTAGCGTTGGTGGACCACCGGAAACATCTCGATTTTGTGCCCCGGCTCGACGGCATCCGCAAAAATTCCGCCGATAGTGAAGACAGAGTTCTGCTCGGGCAACTTCGACAGGTAGAAGGAAAATTCCGGTTTGGTGAGCACGTTTGACTTCAACACGTTGTCAAACCAGGGCCGGGTGACCCAGGCGAGTTTCGTGTTTGGGTTGAAATTTGTTGTAGACGAGGAAGATTCATCCGATGGTGCGCCGCTGCCTGTGGAGTTACTGCTAGAATTCGAGGTGCTGTTCGTAGTAGAGGTGGAGTTCGTAGTCGTGCTGTTGGGATCGTCTTTGTAGCTGCTGTGCTGGGTCTTCAAGGCTAGTTGTTTTCTCTGATTCGCTCCTTGCATGCCAGCGTTGCGGTCTGTTGGGAAGTCGGTAGTTGATTTTCGGTTATAATTTTGTGAATACCATCAGTTGGTAAGTAGTTTGTTCTGTTTCTGATTGACGTAAATTGCACGAGAGGATGGATCAGGTTGGTGAACTGGAGCTAGAACTAGAAAACCGCACATGACAAAGATGAAACACACGACTTACTGCAGATGCAGATGCAGTCAGGAATTGAATTTTTACAAAGCATCAAAATACTCAAAAACGTTTGCCACGTCCCAGAAGACGACTCGCCCTTGAACCAGTCCCGGCCCTTGTGAATCAAAACGTTTGAATCCCCATTCAAATCCGCTTCGACCTGCTCCGTCGCTACTAAATCCGGGAATTATCAAATGCAAAAGTGTCTGGGTCTGGAAATTTGTGATGCTGGGTGGCGTATCATGAGGAGAGGATGCCACAAGTGCTGGCTCAGCATGACAAGTTTCTGAGCTTCGTTCTAGGTGTTGCCTACTCTGCATGACAGACTGCGTTTCTGCATGACAGAAAAGCGAGGCTCTTTGGTATCGTGCATGACAGATTTAAGAGTCATGCCAGACAAGCATGACAAACCTACCAATCTTCCAGACCCAGACATTTTTGCATTTGATAGGAATCCCAACCCGACAATCCCGTCGAAGTCGTCGCCTTCGAAAATTTCCCCGACCGATTCGTAGATCAAATTGAACCCCTGGCCGAAAACGGTGACCGGGCCGATTCGGACGTCGTCGTAGCCCCGAACGCCGGACAAAACCCCAGAACCGAACACCGACCCCACTTTGCAGAGTTGCTCCTCTGCTTTTATTTTGCGGAGACGTTGATGGCCGCTTCGGTGATGAAACTTTTTCATCTTCCCTCCTGACGAAGTAGCACTAGACTTCTTCTTTTTCATCTTCACTGCAGCGACGTGCTCCTTTCCTCGGTTTTTCGCCTGTTTTTTCTTGGAAATTGCTTTCTTGGAAGCAGAATTCCGCGATTTCATCCTCTGCTGCACGTTTGTTCTGCTTGTAGAAGCGACCTGCAGGAAATTGCTAGAGGGCTGCGTTTTTGATAGAGCGCCCGTTTCTTCTACTGTTTCGTTCTTCACCACCACTTCCAACGGCTCATCAGTGTCGCTGCTCTGCTTATCGCTCTTCCCCTCCACCAAGGAACTCGCCTTGCACAGCCGCGAGGTCAAGGAGTGATTCGGGTCGTAACTTCCAGCCGCGCCGCCCTTCACAATGTCGGACTTCACCGCGGACAACCAGGTGTCTGAAGTATCAAGTGCAAAAATGTCTGGGTCTGTAAGAATGCATGTTTGTCATGCTTGTCTGGGATGACTCTTCAATCTGACATGCACGTTACCCAAGAGCTCCATTTTTCTGTGATGCAGAAACGCAGTTTGTCATGCAGAGGAGGCAACACCTAGAAGCTCAGAAACTTGTCATGCTGGGCCAGCACTTGTGGCCTCATCATGAGAGGCCACCCAGCATCACAAGTTTCCAGACCCAGACATATTTGCAATTGATATGAAGACCCCGTGTCCAAAATGACCCGCATCCGCGCCTGGGGCTGGGAAAAACAGTTTTGGGCGAAGGAGGAGGTGGCTTCTGCACCATCAGTGCTGGTTGTATTCATTGCCTGTTGGTCAACAACATCCTGTGCAGTTCCTGCTTTCGTCGAGTCCGTAGCATTGTTTCCTGCCTCCTCGTCCCCGGATGAAGATGAAAGAAGACTTGTCACTATGAAATGCAAAAATGTCTGGGTCTGGAAAAAAGCAACTTGTGATGCAGATTCTGGAACAGACAAAAATCTGTACTGCGTAGTCAGCAAAAGGTGCCCGATTTTTGTTTCCCGAAAAACGTATTTGTCATCAGGAATCGGCATGGAGAAGCTCCTACCACAGAGTTTGTCATGCTCTGAGTGCATTCCAGATTTTTTTGTAGATGTAAAAAATGCATGACAAATGTCTGATTTCTTCCAGACCCAGACACTTTTGCATTTGATAGTCACTACCTTTCCGCAATTCTCGTCACCGTTTTTCGCCATCGCCTGGCCGATGTGAATGGTCGCGATGTATTCCATGTCGTAGTTGTTGGTCAGTTCCACCTGCCCCGCCGCCCCGAACGCGCCCCGTTCGTGCGGGAGGTGGTGCGATTGGGAGGAGAGGAGGGTAGCGGTCGCGTTTGTTCCATCGGTTTTATCGGTGGTGGAACTGTCTGACACAACTTCCGTGTCGTTTTTCACAATCCTGACCCCGTCATCCTCTTCTCCGAACAGCTTCGAAGAATCGAACCCGGTTTCCGACTCCGCAACGTCATCCAGGTCATCCAACGACTGCTGGCGGTTGCTGTTTTTCAGAGACTTCGACTTCGGGCGCTTTGGGGAGGAGAGTGGAGGGGTTCTTGTTTGCTTCCGTCTAGAAGTGCTGCCGGAAGCGCCTTTTGCTTTTGTACTAATACTAGTTGTAGAGCGGTGCTTCTTGTCGTGACCTGATTTTTTATCCCCGGCCTTTTTCTCCTGTTCTTGACGCTTTTTATCTGCCTTCTTTCTCTGCTGTTCGCCGTAGCTCCTTTTTTGCGGCTTTTTCCTTATTATCTTGGCTGCCGGGCTTGTGTGTATCTGCTGATTGTCAGAAATCTTGTCGTGTACCTGCAGAAAAGACGCCAGGACTTTAGGCCTGGCGATATGGTCCCGCATGTTGGCAGTAGATTCCGCATTTATAAGTGCACCAACATGAGGTTCTCTTTCCTCGCCAATGCTATTTTCGTCGCTGTGCCACACGTGATGGTGCGTCAAGGGGCTCCGGCGCTCCAGCGGGACTGTCAGCTGTGCCGCTTGTCCGTCGTGGTACAGAGCGGTCGGACCTTTTGCTTCGCCGTTCTTGCCAATCACCTCTAGTACTGCAGGCGAGAGTAAGTACAGCTGCAGGAGTTTTTTCACTAGAAGTCGAGCGGCGAAGGGTCGGGAGATGCTTGTTACCGGCACCATTTTATGCATTTTTTCAAATTTTTTAATTTTGTTTTTTACATTTCCATCCAAGGCTACAATGAATCCTTCAAATAAGCAGCTTAAGGAAAGAATCTTGTACAACTCAGTTGTAACTTTCTCTCTACCAAGACGAGAAGCCAAACTGCAGCGCGACTCAAGCACGAGTGCACAAACACAAGCGACTCTAACCTGCAAAGCGATTCATCGTCTCGATAGCAGCTCAATCCGCTGCCATCGCTGTCTCTCTCGAAATGAAAGGTCCTACATCAAATCGTGCTACGTAAACCCACTCGGACCCAATACTAACGACCGCTCTATCTAAAGCAAGATTGACAAACGGGTCCTGGAACAAACAAAATGTTAACTCGAAAGAACTTAGTACGGTCGTGGGCCGCGTAATGTGATCCATGTTTCTGTATCGGTGCTTCAACTTCACATGCACCAGCAACAGCAAGTGCTTTGCAATATAATGTCGTCCAGCATGTTGCGTTTAAAACAACTGATGTCCATCTTTCCCGCACAAGAATGAGACATGTAGATAAAAAACCTATTCCCAGAACCAAAAACGCTACTCGCTCTATACTTACACTAGACTCAGTTGGTTCGCCCCGTGCTGGTGGTTCAAAGCATTCTATAGTACGACGAACCTCTTCAAACCAGCACTACCTCCCCCGCTAAGCGCTAAAAAAGGCCAGGGTGTACAACTAGGGGGTCAATGTGCCGGCACCAGCTCAGGAAACAACCAAGAACTGTACGAGATTGTTGTTCATCTGCGGACATACATCCTCGAAGCGCGGCTCAATGGGAATAAAATTAGTCAGTCTAATGGTTGTTTTATCTACTTTTACTTCTCTATCGGGACGATACTGAAAAGATGAACTTAACGCACGTAATCCATTGCCCGGATGGTTCTCCCACGGTTCACGGTGGTATTCGTGATTCCCTGCTTCATGAACCGCTTCTGATCTTCCCTCTTTATGGCCATGATCTGTTTCCCCTGCGTCTTCAACTGCGAAATACCAATCACGCAGTTGTTCTGCCCGTTCTGCAGCGCTAACCTCGCCCCAAAACCACCTCCAATGGCCTTCACCTTTTCCTTCTCTTGCCCGCGCCGGCTGTGGTACAGCGCCAACCCCCGCTGCCGGTAAATGTACCGCAGCCGCCTGTGCGCCGCCTCGGAGCCGTCCGGGAGTTGTAAATTTCCCGTTTCCGGCACGATTTTCGCGATTCTCAGGTTCAAAGCCTTGCAAACCTTCTGGAACTCATGCTCGTCGTCGCAAACGTGGACTTCGTTTTCCTCATCCGATTCCAGCTCGTATTCTGTGCAAAATTTCTCGTAGATTTTATCCTGAGTAAAGACGTCCCCACACCAGAGCCAAGATGGGAAATCTGCTAGACAAATCAACCAGCTTTCGCTGTTTCGCATGACAGGTTTGCCCTCCTGGTATAATCTTGTTTCGCTAGTTCAGCAGCGTCACAGATCTAGCATATCATGCTGATTCTAGCATCACAAACTCCAAAAAACAGCTAGAAAATATTTCTCATGGGGCTCCGCATGAGAAACTTTTTTGGCATGCAGATTTGCATGACAACTCTGGGGTGGGGACGTTTTTACTCAGCATAGATTTCTTGGATGAAAGCACTTGGATTCGGCCGGCTCCCGAAAAACTTCCGGGCGAAGCACTGCAGGCTGACGCCAGGAATTATAGCGTCGGAATTGTTGTCCTCCTTGTGGTCACCATCTGCTCTACTATTTCGCTTCAGTGATGATGATGCTCCTTGTTCTACTGTTCTTTCCGCGTCCGTTTCCTCGACCAGTTGCTGGTAATCCAGCTCCGAAAACTCTATTGTGTCGTCGATAAACTCTGCGAAGTCAACGGCTTCGTCGAAAGCGAGCAAGTGATCTTCGTCCTCGTCAAAAAATTCAAACATCTCTTGCAGCTTCTCCGCGTCGCCTGTTTGTAGCGTAAAGGAATGCTAGACTAGCATGACAAATCTGGTTTGTTTCTTAGGTAATTTAGCATTACAAATTCAATTTTTCATACTGAGCTAATTTGTGATGCAATTTATACTAGTACGATGCTTTTGCAGTGCATATGCACCGTGCCGCAACGAATAAAAACTCTTGATGTTGAACGTCAAACTCAAAGCGTTACCTACTACACGACGTCCATTTATCAAATTGTCTGTGCCTCTCTTGCAAAAAAAAAACCCAACAGCTGCATATGTAAAATTTATACTCAGATTCTTTTCGGCTTCCTTCCTCGCCGCCTTTTTCTCTGCGTTTTTTTCCACCTTCTCAATGGCGTTCTCCAGCATCTGGTCGGTCAGCGCTTCCCTCACCGTTTCCAGCGTTTTTTTCTTATTCTCCTTCAGGTTGAGCTCGTTCCAACTTGTGCGGAAATCGTAGAAGAGCTCCAGCTATCAAATGCAAATATGTCTGTGTCTGGAAACTTGTGATGCAAGAAAGGGAAGAGTGAGCGCACTGTAATGCGCTGCCCAGCATGACAAGTTTTTCCGTGTAGTTCAGCTTCAGATTTGTTGCGTAATCCGCATGACAAACTGCGTTTTTGCATGCCAGATAGGAAGAGCTCGTAGCGGGCACGCAATACAGAGTTCAGAGTCATGCTAGGCTAGCATGACAAATCTGGCAATCTTCCAGACCCAGACATACTTGCATTTGATACCAGTTGCGCCTTTAACTCCGCAGTGATGGCTTCCGAGTAGTTGCCCGCGCGGGTGTACCCCTCGACGCCAATCCGCGTGTGGTTCTTGTCGAGCATGTGTCTCCGACAGGACAGTTCGTCCTCGAAGGATTTGTCGCAGTAGAGACATTGGTGCCCTTCGGAGATCTTCTTGTGCAGAAAGGAGAGTAACCCGGGCTTGTCGGTGCAGTAGGTTTCGTCGGGGATGAAGAAGGAAAACTTTTTACCCATGTAATCCAGGTTGTCTTCGAGAGATTTGAAAGTTCGGTGGTCGAAAAGGGACCGGTTGGGCAGGGGAACAACCTGGTGTTGCGTTTTTGGAAGTTGATTTTTGATTTTTGACATAGACATCCTAAGTCGTGAACTAAGTACACGACGCACACTTCGTTGTACTATCTCGTCGACATCAAGTTGTAGCCCGACTTTGTCCTACGTAGTAGTTCACCAGCAAGCAACTTTTTTAGCAAGAGCTGCGTCAAATCATCGCATTTACAATACAAGCATTTTTAGAAGTTGTACTGCGTTACATATTACTTACCTCTGCGTTGGCGTTCACCGCCACTGCCTTGGATTGATTGGTCGCTACGGAATTTCTCCCTGAAGTAGTCTGTTCTGCCAGATTCCGCTTTTTGCTTTCCTTCAAGTGGTCCGTTTTCTTCCCGGTTTGCTCCATCTGAATTTCCTTAAACCGCTGCAACTTCCGCTCCCACAGCTCGGCGGGAATCGGGGCCGCGTTTTCCAGCTTCCGCTTCACGTTGTACATGTGCCTTTCCGACCGGTAGTGCGCCCGCTGCTCAGACACCGGCACGTGCTCGTTGCACGAGGTGCACACCGTCATCGGAATGGTGGCGGTCGCCATTTTTTTCTTTCTACAACGAACTGTTTTTGTCTCAATAACAAGGGAAATAACGAGGAAAAAAAGACTTGATAGATACTGCAGTCGCGAGGGTCCTGAAAAGTAGTAGTCAACCAAGTAACGACCGACGTGCACAAGAGGCCTAGTGTAGAAGACAGATATGGCACAACTACAACAACTAGCTCATAAATTGGTAGTGGTCAAAATAAACTCGAATACGAGTAGTATGGTCCGTGTTCTACTGCAACAAACTATCTACGACTCGTTCGCTAGAAGTACTACTACCCTGCTCTTGTTCTCTTTCACCATCGGGCCCTGTATCTTCATTTACAATTTCCAAGAATGATGTTAAAAACGAACGATATTGAAAATTCTCGAATATGGAAGTCGTCCAAATTTGAAAATAGCAGATCAACTGCCAACCCAAGACATCCATGCTGTTTCATTTCGCGGGTCGATCGGTGCCTTTGCGATGTTGTACTAACACGCAAAATCAATACGATCATTTTGAACTCATTTCCATCCTTCAAAATATCGTGCATCAACACCAGTGAATATTAAGACCGACACTTCATTTCCGCTGTCGCTCTGCCCCCTCGGAACAATCTTTATTTACAAAAATGAATCGGAAGCCGCTTTGTTTTTACCTTTACTGCAGATCTTCAAATGCTCCGTTGTATCATACAGTGCGTCGAGAAGTGCGGCGCAATTAATTATAACAAACTTAAGTTCACAACTTGGTCTCTGATCAAGATCTTGATTTTCGGCCCACTAGCATAGGAGCGAGACACATGGAAAATGGATCGAGAAAAATTTATTCCATCTGGATCACAGTAGGTCTTTCGGTAGAAGATTCAGATGACAACAGAGAGGCACAACCAAAGAACAGTCGCAGTTGTCCTGTCGCCTAGGGTGGTCGTCGGCGTTCTTTCTCAGCTTTCAGACATGGAATTCCATGATCGTCAGTCGATCGCAAAAGCGGGAGCTGTAAAAATATGTCTTTTCACAATTATTCGTGGACCAAATTATACATAGCTCAGGTGGAAGAGCAGATCATCTTACACGTGCGATTCCTGGTTTTTGCTGGGGGATTTCTAGCTGCCTTTAACGAGAGTTGTTCCTACTAGTTGCTATGCGTCGCTCATCTGTTTGTTGTCAGATGTTGCTGTCGGCGATCGGTAGTATAATTCGAAGGGTAGTGAATGTTAGATCATCGGAGGTGTGTGTCATATCATACATTGTACATAGATGCAGTGTCGTGCTGGATTCAACAGTGTAGAGGGTCGAAAACTAAAATCTGCGGAAAACTAAAATCTCAAAGGGGAGTTTGAAAAATTGCACAGTAGCGTAGCGAACTGAGAATATTTCTGATTCTGCTGATATAGAATCATAGCTAGTGTGGCTTCCGTTCTGCTGTACGTGCGTGCTTCGTGCGCCTTCGTACAAAAATAACTGTTGGCAAAAACAAAATTTTCAGAGTGCCTGTTCAGTGCATTTCTAGTCGACTTCTCACCTGCGTGCACTTCTTTCACAAAAAAAAATACTACTAGTACAACTTCTGTCAATTACGTCAAAATACTACTAGTACAAATTATACATCAAGATGAATTATAAACTAGTACATTATACACTGTCGGAAAAATACTACTAGAGTCGAGAGGGTTTTCTTTTCTGCTTCGCAAATTTGTAGAAGTGCTGGGTCTGCAAAAATAGCGAGAAGCTGATACCGTAACGTCTTGATGTTTGTCTCGGTCACAGCTTCTGGCACTTCAACTTTCATACATTACTAATTTTGGACAAAATTATCAAAAGGCAAGTACTATATATCGTCGTAAGAACGAAAGGATAGATACTAGCTCGAAACCTGTCTGCGAGTCGACTCGTGGGTCGTCCAGCGTGCCGCCCCTCGTCGCCCGCGATAATTCCGATTCGTCGTGTGCTGGTGATCAAACATGATGATGATGCTACTTACCCAGTAAGGAATCCTAGGACTCTTGCAGATGGAATCCCAGTACGGTCCTCAAAGAGTTTTTTCGTCACTAAGTGAAGGTTCAAGAGAGGTACACGCGCACATGCGTAACTCGTGATGGCAGTTGCGGCCTGTTCTGGACGGATGACGACTCTGTGCGAATCCCGCTCATCCCGCCAATATCGTTCGCGCGGCACCAAGTCGTACAAACGAGGCTGACGAAATGCGTATCCACTCAAAGTCAAGAAATCCATCACGAATGCATCCACGTTAGTGTTCGTTCGCCATTTCTTTCCCCTTTCAGCAACCGAGAAGAGGCCCGCCAGGCCGCGGACTCGGCGGCCAACTTGTCTCACCTTATGGACCAGCGTGCCGTCAGACTTGTAAGTTGCAACAACGGACGAGCCAGTGGACGAATATGTTGTGGGTCCACCTTGAACCCGCTCCGTTCTACCCATTACGGCACTCTGCAAAATGACTTCAAACAGGAAGAGTCGCTGCCACCGCGACAGGGGCTCTGCTGCACGCGGACTTCTGGGGTCTCCTGCCCGGTCGACAAAAAAACCCAAGTGTTTCTCGAGTAGTTCCGAATCGGGCATGTTGGGGTCGTGCGTAAGCCTGACTTGGAACGGTTTCCCTCTATATGCACTAGCAAAAATTACAATCGCCGTCAATTTCCGATCAACATGCTTGTGGTCCTTGATTTTATCCTGGTACAGCTGTATGAAGTAGTGCAGCAGCGCTCTTTTACTTTTTGCTTTGTGTCGCGGTCGTTCTCACCGTTATCACACAATCAGAAATTGAGGCAGATAGCAATCTTGTCTAGGATACTTTCATCCTTTCCGGTGCGTCGAGAACCCAGACTTGGCGACTAGAACGCGACGGCTGGCGACGATACCAACGGCTATGGCTATCGAGCGTCCAATAGAAAGATGTCATGCAAGCCAAAAATTGCATCAGTAGCTGCATACCAGGCAGAGGCACATGAGCCAATATAATACTCTAGTTATACCTGCATATACAAAGTCCCGCAGTCAGTATAAGTACAAGTCTTTGAGCCCTTCTCGCGTTTTTGAAGTGGCGCGCGGCTTCGTTCCAATTTTTATCGATGCTCTTACCAACACATCAACTCCCCACTGGAAGAAGAAATTTTATAAAAAAATGGCCAACGGCTGCAGCGTTTTTGTCTTTGAAGAACTGCAGAAGCGCGCTGTGGAAGCCGTGACCCGCCAGGGGCAGGAGCGTCTCATGATCTGCAAATTCGTCTATTGCATAATATAAAAATCTAGAGAGCAGAAGATCTCCTCACACTAAAAAAACTACTGATGCCAACATTGGTTTTTCGCTGTCATAGGATCGCACACGTCTTCGTCTGTCACAGGTTCATTTTCCAGCCTGCTCTGCTGGCTTCGGAAGATGACCACAGAAGAATCGTCCCGGCCCACCACAAATCGCCACGGCTTCATCAACATCAAAAAGTCTACTCTACTAGCAATTTCTGCCGCAGCTTGTTCCGGCCCTGCCGACACCGGGATGAAACTGAGCAGGTCGGCAACATCCGATGTAACAAGCGAGGTGGGGGGATCGGGATCTTTTCTATCGAGCTCTTGTCTGCAACGTGTTCTGACATAGTCACTGACCACGTCCCTCTCCTCGCGAGGTTGTCGGAGTCGCGATAGGCTTCTAGCCCGAGCGTCGCGATTCTGATTCCGAAAAAACTCCACGAAGTTCCAGTAAGACTGCCTATACTCCGCATCTGCATCGAAAGCAACGGCGCCGTCGGACGTGCTCGTGCTCCCCCGAGAAGCAGGCACCGGCTGCGCCCAGCCTTCTTGCAACAAGGCAAGAGAACAAAGGAGCCGCAACTTCAGGCTGATCATTTTCTTTCCAGAATGCTGTCGAGAAACAGGGATACTGAATATGTTTATTTTAGTACAAAGCTGCAGATGACCTCCAGAGGGTTTACAACTGATACAACTACTGATGAATTTTTACGGAATTACAGCACGACCCTACCTAGTCGGAGACGGGATACGGCAACAGAGGCAGGCGTCGAAATTGAGCTACTTGTACTTACTTAAGCTCCTCCTCGGGGATTTCTTGTATGATGCTTATATTTCGCCGAATCGAGCGATGCTCTTGGTTTTGCACTTTGAAGTCTTAGTTTACTTTATATCTGTAAAGATACCAGCTGTGCTTTTTGATGAGAAAGTCGAAGGGTACAAGCAGGATGAACTACAGATGTAGTATACAAGATCTCGATTCTCCTCGAAGGTGTCGTGATCGGGTTATTTCTACTTGATAGGTCAATCTGCATTTCGATCCGAAAACTTTATCAATCACTACTGATCAGTGGAGATCTTCCCGGCGGCCCTTCTTTTACAAGCAGGACTTCATTTCCATTTTCGATCTTCACTCTTCTCAGTTTTGCGATTGCGAATGTTTTCCGAGGAAAGTGATCCTGTTGACATTTGTTCACATTTTTACCGATACAACATCTGGAACTGGGATTTCACAATATAACCGAAGATGCTGACTGTGACGTGCTAAAAGACGAACAACAAGTTTGTCATGCGTTTTTTTAACAGTTAAAAGCTCCCACGAAACCTTTTGCCACTGCTTCACCTTATTCTTTATGGATGTGCCAATCAACTATCGGCCTGGGTTCAAAACTAGAGCGGTTTTTATGATAGTCGACGCGGAATCTTGCACAGCCTAAACAAGCCAAACACCTGTGCTCCGCAAGGGGAGTGTTTTCCTCATTTCCGGATCATTTTTTCGCAGTATCCAAAATAGTTAAGTAGATCTTTTTTCGCAGACAGAAAGAGAAAAAACGAACCGAGGAGAAATGCTGGGGATTCGAAGACAATTTTTTTTATTGTTCAATACAAATTCAACCCAATCGTGAAATCTTGATGCAGCGAGCCATTTTGGTTTCTTCGGTTTCCGGTGTGGGGGGGGGCGAAATCATTCATGCACGATTATACGAAGCCGGGTGATTATGTATGTACTTTTTCGTGTGGGACCAAGTCAGAGGAGCCTATTGGCGCAAAAAGCCATGCTGGTACACCAGCGTAGTAGAACAGCATAGAAAAAGATGATGAACAGATCGGGGTCAGACTCAGAGGACATTCAACAGCATATGTATATAGAAGGAGCCCTAAAACACATAGTCAAAAGGTGGAAAAGGAAATAAGGGTCATGAAATGCGTAGATACCAAATCACGCTCCGTGCTGGGTAGTTCTGGTGGTCCTTCCGAATTTTTAACTTTGGAGAGGAGAAGTTACTGTGACAAGATGAAAATCTATGATTGCTGTTCAGCTTTAGTAGCCTGTGCAGGAGGGGGCTATGGTTGGCAGTCGAAATAAGCAGTCGAGTCAAGCGGACGAAAAAGACAACTCACTGAAAAAAATCGTAACAAGCTAGTACACTTTATGCTTTGCGGTTGATGCAGCTCGTCTGGCTGCTACTTCCGCCAAGTGCACAAAAAATATCTTATCTCGACGTGCTCGTGCCAAAATAAATCGATGCATGTCCTCACGATTGCTTGTGTGGGTAAACTAAAGTGAATGGTATTATCAGTAAAAAAATGCGGGCACAACAGCTTCTACCTAGGATGCTGTTCTTGTTCTTCTGTGTCTGGAGAAATCAAATGGTAAAAAAATAAATGTAGGCCTGATGAATACAAGAACTTTATAGTACATTAGTTCTTTTATGCATACATCTCGTCGATCAGTTTTCGCTCTTTTTCCGCAATCTGGACGCGTTTCATGGTCATCTTCGCGGTGAGCAGCCCGTTTTCCGGGGTCCACGCTTCTTGGACCACCCGTAGGTCCTTCGGGAGCTCGAACGCGAGCAGTTTCTGCTTCTTGCAGTGCTCCAGCACGCTGGCGTAGATCTCCTTGGCACTTTTTTCCTTCCCGGCCGCGGACGCCACTACCAGCAAAACCACAAAGTTTCCCCCCGGTGTCTTGCCGTAGCACATGCAGTTTTCCACATACGGGGACAGCTTGCACGCGCTTTCCACCTTGTATCAAATGCAAAAATGTCTGGGTCTGGAAGAATGCAAGACTTGTCATGCATATTTCTCATGACACCTGATGCCTGTAATGCATGACCGAGCATCACAGACTTTTAGAGGGCCTCCTGATGCGCCTTCCGCATGAGAAATGCCCTCTCCGCGACGTAGCACAAACTGGACCTTTCTTGCTGGTCATGCAACACTAAATTTTTTAGAATCCAAAAACAGCATGACAAGTTGCATTCTTCCAGACCCAGACATTTTTACATTTGATACCTTCGAAAGCGCCACATACTCCCCCTGCGGCCCCTTCCACAAATCTTTCTTCCGGTCAATGATTTTCACTTGGCCCAGTTCCGTGATGCACCCAATGTCACCCGTGTGGAACCAGCGAAACCCGTCTTTGCAAGTGGAAAAATCTTCCTGGTTCTTCGCCGTCAATTCTTCGATGACCTTGGCATTGGGATCAAGTTCAAGAAGAGCTGCATCAGCTTTCATATTGTCTTCGCTCGTCGTGGCTGTGGCACTCGTACTTGTTTCGTCAAGCCCCGAAATAGAACCAGAACAAGAGTGGTTCTCTGCTGCATCTGTACAGCTGGTGCTTTTTTCCGGCACAAAGTAGCCCTGACAAACCAACGGCCCGCCGATGAGGATTTCCCCGCGCGGCACGCCGATATTCTCGTTATACACGTCCGCGTTCAAGTAATTGCCCTCTTCCCAGTCCTTCAATCGAATCATGGTTTGGCTCGTCGGCGGCCCCACCGTCTCCGTCGCGTTATCCACCCACTCCTGCATACAGGACGCGCCGCAGGTCTCGGTGGCACCGTAGCCCTGGCGCAATCAAATGCAAATATGTCTGGGTCTGGAAGATCGCCATGTTTGTCGTGCATATTTTGCGTGTTCCATGATGTCTGTAATGCATGCCCTAGCATCACACATTTTTGGAGGGCTTCCTGATGCCTATTCCGCATGAGAAATACCGTCCCCGCGTAGCACGAACTGGACGCCTCTTGCTGGTCATGCAATACAGATTTTTTTGGAATCCAAAAACAGCATCACAAGTTGCGACCTTCCAGACCCAGACACATTTGCATTCGATAGGCGCACGGGGCAATTGAAGATCGTTTGGAAGAACACCATCTGCTCCTTGGACAGTGGCGCGGACGCCGTTATCACGTTCTTCAAGTGCGCAATCCCGAGCTTCTCGCGGATCTTCTTCATCAAAAGGAGTTCGTACAGGCAACTGGACCCCGTTTGGAGAATTGGGGGCGAAGATGAAGATGAACTAGCGGTCTCTTTGTCGTTTGTGCCCGCCCGATAATAGAACTTCGAGTTCGGGTCTTTGATATTCGATCCAGCAGGAGCTTTACGTTGTTCACCAGAACCATTACACCCCTGCTGCTGCACAACATCAGGACCACTACTGGCCTCGAACCTTTTTTCCCCCGCTTCCACCGCCCTCAGGAACAGGCTGTGCACGAATTTGGACCGCTTTTCGAAAATCGCGTGGATCCCGCTGTAGATCTTCTCCAGCACCGCGGGCGCAAAAATCATGATGTTCGGCTTGGCCACCTTCAAATCCCCCAGGGATTCTGGCTGTTTCACCTTCACTCCCGTGTCGGAAAGCGTGTGCGGGGAGCCGTAGATCAGCTTCAGATTGGTCGTCAAAGCGGTCACCTCCGCAACCAATTCCATCACGTGGGCGAGAGGCAAATAGGCCAGGTACACGTCGCCGGGCTCGAGCTTGTCGGCCGAACGAATCTGTTGATTTTTTTATTCAACAAACGGGGGTGGATGTTGATTTCAATATTTGAACGCTTTTTCATACAGGTTCCTTCTGTAGTCCCTAGAAGATCTGAGCATCGAAATCGATTGATGTCAGGAATATTTTTCATTTTTTTGAATATTATTTCGGACTTCTACACCTTTTGCTTTTTCCTATCTTGTTCACCTGGTGTGCTTATGCACTATCTCAATTACTTATCATCAGGACGGACAGTGTTGACCACCCGTGCAGCTCTGTAGAAGGACGAAACCTGCAACTCGTAGTTGCGCGTCACGCGGCCAGTCACTGTCACACACACAGTATTAAAACAGTTGTTGCTGTAAAATAAATCTCAAAATTGAATTCCTATGTAGTACAATTGGCTCCGTGCTGGCCAGCAGCGCCGCCAGATTGCCGTGCGACAGAACCACGCCTTTCGGGTACCCGGTCGTCCCCGAGGTGTACATGATGACCGCCGTGTCCTCCGGTTTCGCTTTCACAATCCAGTCGTGCGAGCTTGTAGACCTCGAGGACGAGGATTGTTGTCCAACACTTTGCTGCGAAGCAGGAGCCGTGCTTCCAGATGTAGGACCACCAGAGGAACCAGTAGTTCCCGTAGGTGGACTTGTACTCGGACTGGAGGACGACTCTGAACCGACGACCGGAGTTCTTGCTGCTGCCGCAAACCCGAAGTCCTCTGCAAAGTGGAGCTGCACAACTGGTTGTTCCTCGTTTGCTGCACGAGGTGGAATTGGAGTAGCCGCAGGGTTAGCCTTCTCATGATCATTCGTATCGTTCATTTTTTCATTTTCAGACAGGCATCCTGCATTTTTGACTTTGTCGTGCTTCGTCAATACCGCCTCGAGTCCACTAAGCAAGTCCTTTTTCTGTTCTTCTTCCTGCTGCTGCCCGATGACGACGATGTTTTTCAGAAAAGAAAACTCCGACAGGTTGTGATTATTACTCGCTTTAGAATCTTTTCCGTTGTCCCCTCCGGGCAACAGAATCTGGTTCACCAAAACCTTCGCCAACTTCATGTCCACGAACGCCAGATATCCTATGTAAAAACGTCCCCGACTACAGCCCGTAGTTGTCATGCAAACCTGCATGCTGAAAATGTTTCTCATGCGGAGCACCATGAGACTGAAGCCTTTTCTAGTAGCGTTTTGGAATTTGTGATGCTCCAGTCAGGATGATGCACCAGCTCTGTGATGCTGTTGAACTAACTAAAATAAAAGCAGGACTATGCTACAACGCGGCCAAACTTGTAATGCGCAACAACCAAAGCAGGATGATTTGTCCAGCAGGTTTCCCATCTTGACTCTGGGGTGGAAACGTTTTTGCTCAGGATAACAAATCGGGTTTGGTCTGCTTCAACGCGTGCGCCGCGGCCTCCGGGCCGAGGTTCGCGTAGATCGTGACAATCGGGATGTTCTGCGAGATATACATCGCAAATCTTATCTCTGGGTCTAGAAAGATCATGATGCAGCTTGTTGTCACATGCAAGGTTGTTCATGAAGATCTCCGGATCTTGATAAAAAAAATCTGTCTTGCCTAAACGCCAATCAAAAGTAGCTAGTAGTTTTGCCCACTTATTGCTACCGGCAAATAAAGGCGAACTTCTGATGCGAAATAAAAATTTCGTGACGGTCCTCTCGCATCAAAATCTGTGATGCTGCTGTGTGCAGCATTCCAGACCATGTGGATCATGGTCCGCGATTTGCATATACAAGTCTTGCATTCCAATTCCTCCAGTAGACCCAGATGACATATTTGCAGTTGATACGAGAAACAGGCCAGCGCGGCCACTAGCCAGTCCGGGTTGGTCTCCGAGTAAATGACCACTCTTTTCGCGGGAGAAGACAGAATTTTGGTCTTTGCCGATAAAGTCGCCGCGACTCTTCTGACCTCGTCAAAATGCTGCTCGTAGGTTTTGAAAGTGACAGCATTCTCCAACTCCAACTTCTCAAATTTCTTCCCCTTCGAATTATCAGTTTCGTTCTCCGCAAGAACGTAGTGCGTTTTCAGCAGCTTCCGGAACCCGATGGCATCCTTCCCGCGGTTTTGTTTCTTCCCACAAACCGACGCCCACTTGTCGATTACGGGGGTTTGGAAATGTGTTACTTGCGCAGAAATCTTCTGCCCCGGAATGGCTTTAGCTTGTGCTTGTTTCCCCGGATAACTACGACCGTCGTTCGTTCCAACCCCGGTGCCCGCGTTGTAAAGAATGGGTCCATAGGGACCAGAGGCCGTTTTCGAGTCGAAAACACCGTAGAGAGCGGACATGTTGACAGGAGCCTCTATGGAGGCTTCGTGTGTAGCAATTACTATTACGTATGACGCTAGTTGTAGTAACAAGTAAAGAATAAATAAAAGAGTGTTGCTGATTTTTCCAAAAAAAAAAAACACAACGAGAAAAACACAATCTCGATGTGTGGTGACGCGTCAAAAAACAGGAGGAGAAGTTTAGCAGCCAAAAAAATAGCAGTGCCTGGTGTTTAATATTGCCGATCAAAAAGGAAATGGACGCTCCTCTGTAATGTTGTTTTGGATGAAATAGGCCTCAGCAGTGCAATCCATCGCTGTTGTAGCACAGCGATCGCAAGGATCCTGCAGTTGATCCGGCGATTTTTGTGACCCAGTGATGTTCGAACTGTGCCTACACAAATTCAGCTGATCCTAGCATGAAAATAAATGTCAGATTTCAAAATGACCTCCTTGTAATTTTTTTATCGATCTTGTTGAACGAGAACTTGTTGCATCATCGATTTACTCCGGCGCAGACCGATTTTTCATTTGAGAGCTTTTTATCAACGTCAAACCGCTTCATTTGAGTACAGCCGATATTAAACGTAGATCTTCGTCTTCTCCTCGTCCGCTGGTCGGTCGGGACAGGAAGTCAGAGAGGACCACATTTTATTAATTTACGAGCTCTGTCTTCTACCGCCACCCTTCACCTTCCTGTTCCTCAGATGAGTCCGCCCGATGCTGGTATTTTTACGGATGGATCGCTGCATTGTTCCTTGGACGACACTTCTCCTCGGGTGGACAAAACGAAAGCCGAGTTGTACTAGATGTTCACTTCAAGTACTGCCACTGACGTTCGCCTTAGCGGCACAATTAGACCTCCATGCCGTCAGAAAGATCTGCAAAACAAATCTTGCGGACAGAAAATGAAGTTAAGTAGTATCACTTGAAGTTGTCTTTCTCTTTTTCTATGCACGCCGTTGCAGGCGTTTATTTTCTGCCCACCGAACAGAATTGAGTCGAAGAATTCTAAACGCAAAATTTCGCTGTATTGAATGCTGAGTAGAGTGAGTAAAGTAAATGCAAAACCCAGAAATAGGAAAAACTTTATTTACAACTAAGTACACGTCGGCGCCAGTAAAATCGCACTAAAAGTCTTCATCCTCTTCGCAGCAGCAAAACGGCAGGGCCAGTACCGTCATCCAGCCGGACACGCAGCGGATATTACAATGAAAAATGCCCCCACACCCGCACTTGGGAGCATTTGTATTGAAAACCTTTCCAAATGAAACACTCGCCCTCTTGCATCTATCAGCATCACAGGTTTCCAATCGTGAATAGGAAAAGTTTGTACTGCGAAAGACCCCAGCAAAAGCGGGGGTCTCATCAGAAAGATTCATACAACTCGAACTCCTTTCATGTATGACAAAAAGTTTTCATTTGGAAACTTCGCAGCACAAATTTTTGCAATTTCAGGGGGAGGCGGCAATTTTCACTGTAATAGCTGATGGTCAAGAGCAAGTGGAGGAAGAAGTGCTTGTGCACGGTGTGTGCGTGTTTGGTGACCTCCAGCTGATGAAACAATCCGCTGCTCGAGCCGGAAAATATGAATTGCGAATATGTCTGGGTCGTGTGGAAGGTTGCAACTTCTCATGCTAAGTCTACATCCTGCAAAAAACTGCGTTGCATGATTACCAAAAGTTCTTCACTTTTGGCCACGTCCAGAGGCAGTTTATCATGCGTGGGGGCAGGATAGAGATCATCTCACAAAATTTGTCATGCTGGGCCCAGTATGCCAGACCTCAAGGGTCATGAATTTTCTGCATGACAAGTCTTGCACTCCTGCAGACCCAGACATATTTGCACTGCATAGAAAACAGACAGTACCCGGTGGAGAGCGGGAGGATCGAAAAATGAACTGCAAAAGTATCGCACTCGCAGTAATTGCAGTCATGCATAACACGTCTTTCTTAGGGTATTAAATCCGCATTACAAATTTTATTTCCCATGCTGAGGAACTTTGTAATGCATTTACATGAGTACGATACTTTTGCAATGCATACGAAAGCGAAAAAAGCAAAAACCGGATAAACAGCGTGAAAATTTTTTCGTCCTCTTGGAGAGTGAAAGAGTCGTAGATGGCCATCACATATCAAATGTAAAAATGTCTGGGTCTGGAAGTTTGTGATGCTAAAATGTGACTGGTGGGCGCACTGCAATACGCAGCCAAGCATGAAAAATTTTTGAGCTGCTCTTGTGTTTCGCTTCCCGCATAGTAAACTGCGTTTCTGCATGACACACAAGATGCCCTTTTCCTGCTCCTGCATCACAGATTTATGAATCACGCCAGACAAGCATGACAAACTTGCATTCTTCCAGACCCAGACATTTTTGCATTTGATATCACGGATCGGTTTCGCGACGGGTCGAGAAAGAGCTGCACGGAAATGGCGGAAAAAATCAGGGAAAAGAAGAGCACCTGGTTCTGCCAGACGACCACGGGATTTGCGTTTTCGTAGCTGCCATCGTAGCTATGCAGTGCAAATAAGTATGCCTGGATCTGGAAACCTGTGATGCAGATTTGCTGCTAATTGCAACGCTTGCCATGGCATCCGCGCATGACAAGTTTTTGCAACGCTTTCTGATGTCGAGCGCGCATTACCAGTTACGTTTTCGCATGACAAAGGAAGCGGCTCTTCTGCTGCTCACGCGACGCAGATTTTCTAGGAATGCAAGACACGCATTACAAGTTCCACTCGTCCAGACCCAGACGTATTTGCAGTTGATAGTAGCTGTCTTCGAACGAATTGCAGTGGTCCTCGTCAAACAGGCACATCTATCAAAAGGAAAAATCCCTCCCCCCCATATTTGTAATGCTGATTCGTGACCACAAATCGCCTCTGTCTTGCAAGAACGCAACTCCACAGGCTCCGCCGCCTTCTGCAGGCGGTTTGTGATGCTGTTGGCCCCACGGACTAGACGTTTGACATGCTCAGCGCCTAGCACAAAACCTCGTGGTCCCTCCTCAGGCTTAGTGTAGGCCCGCAGTCCTCTCCAGCAAGAGAAATCTGATTTGTGTACGCAAATCCAGCATCAGAAACTTCGTTTTCATATGGGGAGGGGGGATTTTTCCTTTTTGTAACATCTGACACCGCATCCCGTTCTGGCCATACCAAGCATGGAGATACACGGCGGCGCACAGCTGCAGGGGCAGGTCCTGCAACAGAAACTTCAGCAGAACCAGCTTCGTAAACATCTTCGACCCGTCGGCAAATCTGCAGTACCGCCATAGGATCAGGAATAAGGACAGCATCTGTGTGGCGAAGAAGAAGAGCAAGATGTATTCTGAGTAAAAACATCCCCACCCCAGGGCTGTCATGCAAATCTGCATGCCAAAAAAGTTTCTCATGCGAAGGCCCATGAGAAGCTTTTTCTACTCGTGTTTTGGGATTTGTGATGCTAGAAATAGCGCGATGTGCTAGATGTGTGATGCTGCTGGACTATTTGCATTTCAACAGGATTACACTACGAGGACAAACTTGGCATGCGAAACAACCAGAGTTGGCTGATTTGTCTAGCAGTCTGGTATGGGAACATTTTTACTCAGGATAAGATGGTGAAGAAGCTGTTGATGTACCACGCCTCGCTGTCGGCGGACTTTTTCGAGAACGCTTCCCACGTGGTGATGAAGTTGCACTTGTCTTGGTTGTGGATCGTTTGCAAATGGTTCACATTATTGTCCAACACGTACACACGAAACCGAATCGGGTAATCATTCGCGGACTCCTGGTGCGACGAAGTCAATTCTATTCGGCCCTGCCACGTTGACCAAGCATTATCGCCACCCGTAAAGTCACTGCCGAAAGAGGTGTCGTCTGAATAGAGTTACAGTGTGTTTCTTCTTGTACAATTTCTAGGCTACTATTTTGTCCTTCACAAATTCTTTCGCAGACCTGAGCATCGCTTTTGCCATGGTGCTAGTTGTAAGCTCGGGGACAAATTTAAAACTCCACTTCCGCGACATGCAGAAGCTGCGGCGCTGCGGAAACAAATCATTTGACAAATTTACGTTTGACAAATTTGTCTACCTTGCGCCACAAAGACTCCAGTTTCCACCCCTGCAGACACCCTTTCTGAAACCATTTTCGGCGTTCTTGCCCAGTGGACGTAATCTCCGCCCGGCTTCGTGACGGCGAGCTTGTACTTCGCATTATCACAGGAAAAAAGTGTTACAGTTTCACACTTTTTGACATTTTCTGCATCACAAAGTTGCTCGACATGGGAAAGAAAACCTACCATAAGGGAAAACACGTATGAAATGAGGTTGGCAAGCATTTCCTGCATGACAGAGGTTGTCTGTCTTGCTTGTCTCCCATCAGAGAGTGTAACTTTAACGCTTTTTTCTCACGATACGCATGGCTGTTGGGCGACTGCGGCTCGACGCCCACGAGAAAGGTGGCCGGGTGTATCAAATGCAAATATCCCTGGATGTCTGGAAGGATGCAAGGTTTGTCATGCACATTTTGCATGACTCCTGATCGATCTGTGATGCATACCCTAGCATCACAGATTTTCTGATGGCTTCCTGATGTCTATACCGCATGAGAAATGGCCTATCGCCGTCGCAAAAACTCCTGCTGGACCTCTTTATTCGCTGTTCATACAATACAGATTTTTGTAGAATCCAAATGCAGCATCACAAGTTACAGTTCTCCAGACCCAGAACTATTTGCATTTGATAGGATGGGAGTTGGTGATAAACGGAAACGCCTTGTCGGGTGGAACTTCGAACGAATCTGTATTGAAAGGAAAGGCCCCGCCTCCCCATATCAAGTCGGCACTTCTGATGCTGGATCTGTGTACACACGTCCGAGCTGTCTTGCTGGAGAGCACTGCAGACCCGTGCCAAGTGTGAGTAGAGGGGTTTTGGCCTAGGCACTTAGCACGAAAAACGTCAGCACTGTAGGCCCAACAGCATGACAAACCGCCAGCACAATGCGGCGGAGCCTGCGGAGTTGCCTTCTTGCAAGACAGACACGATTTGTGACCACACATCAGCATCACAAATTTCCAAAAAGATAACTTTTCAGTATGGGGAGGGGGGATGTTTCCTTTTGATATTCTGCGGAAAAGTCCTCCGAGTTGCCCACCGAAGTCGTCACGGCGCTACGTGGAATATCCTGAAGAAAAACGACCCCGCCCCATAGTAAGTAAGTTGTCATGCAAATCTGCATGCTCAAAAATGTTCCCCATACGGAACCCCACGAGAAGCGTTTCCTAGTAGTCGTGTCTGGGGATTTCTGACGCTCCGATCAGCATGATAGGCGAGATTTGGGATGCTGCTGAGCCAGGTAAAAAACAGGCCTATGCTACGAGGCCAAACTTTAACTTGTCTTCATGCGCAACAGCCGAAGCTGGCAGATTTGTGTAGCAGATTCCCCATCTTGACTATGAGGTGGGGATGTTTTTTTCTCACCAGCATATGGCGTAGTCGGATAGAATTCCACCACATCGTCGTAGACCTTTTTCTATCCAATGCAAAAGTACTCGTACAACAAGTGCGAGTCTAGCATTACTACACATCTGCTCTCTATACCTGAATCTGCATGATAAATTTCGTTTCTCCTCTACGGAAAATTTGTCATGATATCTGTACTAGTACGATACTTTTGCAATGCATATTTTCCACACGCTTTGCCCGTTACTGGTGGTACCCCCGACGCAGACGCCGTTGCGCAAGTTCCGCGTGCTGCTGCCGCAGTTCTCGTTCAGGGTGCGCAGAAAAACGGCGGAATTCCACCCAACTTCGGCCAGGAGGTGAAATTGCGCGAGCAGCGCAAAGACCTGGAAAAAGCAGTACACAAACGCGATCGGCGCCAGGACCTTGTGGTACTTCACGTTGTTGTCGGCGTTTATCGACCCCGGCAGCACGCGATTTAGGTAGAAAAGCGGGTCCAGCACCTGTGACTCCTCCAAGAACTGACTCGTCCGGAAGGCCAGCTTCTCCAAGTACCGTCCCCCGGGGAGCTTCTTGGGACAACAGCAAGAGAAACAAAACCCGCAGCAGGGATTCACGAAGCAACAACAGACCCAGGAGAGAAACAGGGTGAGGGGGGAAGAAGGTTCGGCTCTGTGAAAAAAGTGGTCTGTGGGATCGCCGAACACGTTCAGATCTTTTCTGCCATGCGAGAAAGCGTATTCGTCGTCGTAAAACAGATCGCTATATCAAATGCAAATATGTCTGGGTCTGGAAACTTGTGATGCTGAACTGTGCACCACTGAAATACTTCCCAAAGCAGCCAAGCATGACAAGTTTGCCGAACACTTTGTCATGTGCAGTCCGCATGACAAGCTGTGCTTTTATATGACAAAAGAGCGTGTCTCTACTTATTTGTTGGTCATGCAATACAGATCTTATAGGAATGTAGGACTAGCATTACAAGTTCCATGCTTCCAGACCCAGACATTTTTGCAATGCATACGCTGTTGCCCGAGTAAGCGTGATGGTTTCCGGTGAGAAAGGAGTGCAGTTTCAGGGATTTCGCGAAAGGCTTCGACGCGCCGGAGGTAGAAGATGACGCTGTGCTGGTACTAGACCACGAAGAAGTAGAAAAATTCTTCTTCACACTTGTTGCGCCGGACTTCTTTGCCGCTTGTTTGCCATCGGCATCAAACCAACTCGACGATATTATTCCCGCCGACGCGCCAGACGAGGGATGCGCCATGCGCTGCGGTGTTGGCACGAGAACTCCACCAGGATGCGCACTTTCTTTTTCGCTTGCAGGATTTGCTCCATTGTTCGTCCCGAAGGTCGTCGTGTGGCTCAGACTTGTACTATTTGCGTTCGTCAATAATGCTCCGTCAGCCACGTCAAAGGTGTAGTTGGTTACTGCTGTTGTACTCCTCGTCGTGCCAGCCCCAGCCGGTAGTTGTACTACTGAATCAGAATCGGCTCGTGCAGGAGCTGCACTAGTAATACCGGGCAGACGACTATGATCAACGTGATCGCTTAATACAGAAGTGCCGCCATCTTCTGCTGCATAAGCTGCGTGCAATGTGGAACGACCGTGAAGATCTTCTTGTGCTGATGTTGATCCCGCTGGACCAGTACCAGGTAGATGAGTTGTTGTGCTATTAGCAAGAATAAAACCAGTTGCACTGAGGCCATGCTGGCTCGCGCTCGAGTGGTCGCCTTGCTGTTCCGCGTTGCCGTAGTGGTTGACAGGGTCACTGCCAATGCCGCCGGCGAACGTCGAGCTGAGTCCGGCGCTAGAGGATGTTGACGATGACGCTGGCCCACTCGCTTGTATTGTTCCTGCTGACCAGGCGCTCGCCTCGTCTACGGGTTGTTCACCAGCTGCTGCCCCGAGAAGGTCTAAATCCAAATTTTCAAACGGGTCTGGACAAGCACCCAGGGAGAAGTCAGGTTCGTCGCCGGCCGCTCCGTCTTCAGGGGCCATCTTTGGATTGGATGCTTTTGTGTGTCCTTCCTTGTTCCTTGAAGGCCAGCGGGCCGTCGAGAAGGAGTGTTTTCATTAATCAGGGTAGTACAGGTGCGAAATTGTACGAAGAAGTATGAAAAAGACAACTTGAACGCAGCGTACGGTTGCACAGAAGCAGAAAAGCTACTATTCCAAAAAGTTCAAGCTGCATCACTGCAAAACTCTCTGTTCCTGCTCGTAGTACTGTCGCAGCCCGTCCGGAGAGTACTTTATCTCTATCATGTGAAAACAAGTCCGCGCTAGGACACTAAACGCAAAACACGCTCTCCTTCTCTCCCTATTCACTTGCAGTCCGCCCGAGTTTTTACAGTCAGTGCGGGGGCTCGTCGTCGCACATTATATATTTCTCATCCCGTCGCCATCCTCATGCGGATTGACCTCGAACTCGCTCCATCACTGAGTTTCCATGAAAAGATAGCTTGCACGCTGCAAGAATGAACATTGCACCCCTTGCCAGAAAAAAGTCAACACAACTTGGTTGCCGGAGTTCCGGCGGTTTCTTCGTCCCTCAAAGAGGAGCGACATTTATATATTTTTTGGGTGGTTCTAGACCATTCTTTCATCTTGCTCTTTGATGGGCATCCCAACATGTCGAAATCTCGGAAAGGTTTTAATAGTGCCTCTGACTGTGCTGCAGAAGGCATCTTCATATTACTCGGACATGCTGAGAAGTAGAGGAAGACCCCATGCAAAGAAAGTAAGCAACCACATGAAAAAAATTCTCTCGATGCAGCACGCTGCCTTGCACCAGTGAAGAATGCGTAGCAGACAACACTGCATTGTGTCGCCCGTGTTACTGCCTCTTGTCTATAGTCGCGTAGCTAGTCCACAAACGGAGTTCAGTCTAGTGGTGCTTCGCCACTAAAAAAGAGGAGCGACACAGTGCACCTATCAAGAGAAGCACATGGCACATGAGGAGAATGGTAAAACCTAAAAACCGTCAGGCCCAGGGATACTCGGCCTCGGCGTGCACCAAAGTTTTTCGAACCCTCGATCGTCGTCCTCGTCCCTAAATAGTTATGAGTAAAAATATAGTAAAGAGACCGAGAACCGTTCCGCGCTATGGATAACATGTCTCGGTCAGTAAATCCGTCTCCATCTGGATTTGCCATGCCGCGGCAAAAAAAGTGCAGGGTCAGGGCTTTAGCTTTACGTCTTCGTAAAAGAAAAAGTAGTACGTAGAGTACGGCTCACAGGGAATCTTAATCTTTGTCTTTCTTCGTACTAGGGTGTACATACTTATTTATAAAGTTGTAGTTCGAAATCATGTTGTATCGTATTCTTTCCGCCGTGCACGTCACGGCCTCAAGATTGGATAGAAGGTGCCATTGTATCTCATCAATGACTCCGAAAAGATTACTTTTCGGACTGCGTAACAAAGAGGATCTACTCCCAAACAAGTGAGTTAGTACGCACTTGCTCTACAGTAGGTGACAACTAAGTATTTACTTGCAGGCCCTTATCAAGCCTACTCAACTGCAGACCATTAGTGGCGGCCATGGACTCCCAGAAGAGGGTCAGTGGCTGCCCGCGTTCCAGCAACTAGGTTTCCGAACCCGGCTGCCGCCCTTTGGGGCAACGTGCTCAAAGACCAGTTGGATGAAGCTCTTGGTGAAGATCCTCGTAGCAGCTGACCTTGTTGCGCGGCTCTCACCCGCGCCTCCAGCCCGGCCACAACCGCCGCATTTTCCGCGGCCTGCATCCGTCTCGTGTGCTCGGCGTCAACCGCTTCTATCTCTGCCTGCAGTTGCTGCTTCTCCCGACAGAGACAAGTCGCCCGTGCGCCACAACCGGCAACCGATGCAACGCAACCCGCCCCGACCACTGCCCCCGGGACGTGGGGGATCAGCACGCCGGCCGCCCCGATACTACCACCGACAATGCAGCAACCGAGTGGCAACTTCGAACACAAACGTCCCTCTGCATCCAACTTGTCATCGACCAGCTTTTCCCGTTTCTTCCTGAGGTCTTCATGCATGGGGCCACCAGACATCTGCATCTGGCGTGGAGCACCTGACAAGGACGTCGAACGACCACGTCGAACCGGTCGACATGGACAGCAGCACCGGCAGGCACCACGTGAGGAAGCCCGGGAACGATCTTCACGCACGACGGGTTGTGCAGACGACGCGGGTTGTGCCTGGGGAACCGAGCGAGCACTCCTGAACAGGCCGCGCCGCAGCGGTTCGCAACAGGAGCAGCGGTGGGTTGCTCCGTCCTGAACAGGAGCAGCAGGAGTACCAATTTGCGGTCCACTCGCAGAACTAACTTGTTCGCTTAGTTGTTCACCCCCCCGAGTTCATCTCCCTCCGCGTCGTGGTAGTCCAGTTCTTCGTCTCGCAAGAATGGGGCCATTCCAGCACCCGTATCTGCTGGAGCATGAAGAGCGACGGCACCGTCCAGGTTGCACTGGAACAGAAGAAAACGGAGCGCAAAGGCAGCTCCAACAACGGGAAAAGCATTCGAAAAGACCTTCATTTTTTTTTTTCCAAAGAAAAAACCGGCAGAAAATAAAATCAATATGATGAAGATCAAGTCGATTGTTCGTATATATAAATATATAGTCGGTAGACAGGATAGAGGTGGTGAAGGAGTCAGTGGTCTTGAGGAAGAAAAGAAAAAGTAGTTGCGATTGCTGTTACTGTTTCCACTATAGAAGGTACTTAATTATGTGTTTTCGCCTGCTTTCTTCAAGAAAGGGATTTGAAGGTGAAGAGTGTAGTAAAGGAGCAAAGGCGCAATAAATCCTGCGAAGCTGATGTGTGTTGAAGAGTATCAAGTACTAGTTGTAGGGGCGTCTAGATAAATACTAGTAGTTGTAGGGGCGGTTGGTGTATTTCGTGAGAAGCGAGGCACCTGCAGTTGCAAGTAAGACAATATGAGAATCAAACTCTGAGCTCGATGCAAGTAGTTGCAACGTCGACATAATTTCATCTTGGTCCAGCAGATTTTTCACCAATCACCGAAAAAAGCAAGCTCAAAACTGGAACTGCACAATTTAGATGTAGAAATGTTCCCGATTATTTCTGATCATGATCAATTTACGTGGCGAAATTTCAATTTCTCGGATCATGATCTTGTTCCACCGATGAATCTATTGTTTCGTTTTCTCTGGGCACGAAACGTAGACGCTCGTGGGCGCCGACGGATTATGTTTTGATGCTTCTTGTTGCATACTTCTGTCCGTAGAACAGGATGGCCTGCGGGCTGCATCTACTTCATCTACACAACTTAGCGAGTGCTAGATTGTAGTTTGAAAAAAAGCTGACATGGATGCTGAGGTACATCAAAAATGTCTGACCTACCGCCGGGCGTCGGCGTCCATTGAATTGATACCAAACATGCTGCTTACTTAGACTCAGAACCTTTGAAAAGCCAGCCGCTGTCTATTTTTACCTCGATGCTTGCCGTTCTCCAAATCAGAGTCTTCCTGCTCGTATCATGATGAAAAGCGCCCCCACTCCGGAAGTTGTAAAAATGTTTGCCGCATAAGGTTTTCAAATGAAGAACTTTATATGTATGCATGAAAGGACTACGTGTCTCCCTGATGCAATAGAATCTAGTCGTAGGCGCGCAAGGCACAAATGCCATTTGTAAGTAGTTGCATAACAGGTCCTGGCTGTTGTTGGACTCCTTAGCAGCGCAAATTTTAGCTACTCAGAGTCGGCAAATTGTCGTGCTGACACATGATGCAAGACCGGGAGTAATAATTCCATTGGGAAGGTTTGCAGTACAAATTCTACCAAGTTCTGGGGCGGGGGCGTTTTGCATTGTAATAGCTCGTCTGAATTATTTGCCTCGTCGTCGGAACTGACCGTGCCCTCGCCAAACGCGCATCCCAGACAAAAATAAATACTGTAGTCATTTACAATTACAATAAAGTGCTCGTATTCAATACGGCTGTAGTTTGTTGACAGTATCTTCAGGTGTCTCATACCAACCACTCGAGAAGATTCTTTCGTGACGAGACCGAGAGTAAATACGTCTTATTTGTTGCCGTACTTACTCAGCCTCGTCTGCGCGACATCACAAAACTCCCGGTAGTTCTTCAGCTTGTCATGAACATTAGTATTGCAAATGAATTCAGAGTTTCAATTTTTTTCGAGGATAAAGCGTCGCGGGTCTTCAAAAGTTTCTCCAGCTTGCGCTCCGTAAGCGAGTCGTCGCAAATAATACCCCGCGAGATTCTGCAAATCACCTCGCCGTGGCGCAAAAGCATATGCACACGCAAACATGTAGTCTGTGTCTGGGTACTCTGGAACAAGCTTGCATGCTTGATGCTTGAGATCACGACACAAAAGTATCTGTCTTACGTGAAGCAGCTGAAGTAAGAGCGAGATCTGTTGAAGTAGACGTAGAGACCACATACTTGCAACGCATAGAGGAACAGGATCGGCAGCCCCCCGTCCGGCACATCCAACAGCTGCAGCATAAAGTGTATGAACTGCAAACGCATCGCACTAGTATAAATTGCATTACAAATTAGCCGAGCGCTACAAATTGAATTTGTAATGCTGATGTACCTTGACAACGAGATTTGTAATGCATAAACGCAATTACTACGAGTGCGATACTTTTGCAGTTCATAAAGTGAGCCTTTTGCTCTTCCAACTGAAACACCTGCGTCTCCAGGTGCTTCTTCGTCTCAAATGTAAAAATGTCTGGGTCTGGAAGAGTGCATGTTTGTCATGCTTGTCTGGCATGACTTTCAAATCTGTCATGCACGTTACCCAAGAGCGCCACTTTGCTGTCATGCAGAAACGCAGTCTGTCATGCAGAATAGGCAACACCTAGAAGCTCCGAAACTTGTCATGCTGAGCCAGCACTTGTGGCCTCCTCATGATACGCCACCCAGCATCAGAAGTTTCCAGACCCAGACATTTTTGCATTTGATACTTCGCGAGCGAGGCCAAAATGTCCCGGATTTTCGCGTTTATCGCAAGAAAAAAGTGTTACAGTTACACATTGTGTTGCAAGACCGGAAACAGAGACAACCTTTCTCATGCAGGCAATGCTTAGGAGCCTCGTTTCCCTCCTGTTTTCCCTTATGATCTTCGCATTACAAGTTTTCTCGGCCACACTGAGAAAATTTGTGATGCAGAAACTCCAGCAAATGTGTAACTGTAACACTTTTTTCTCGTGATAGCGGTGTTCCGAACCCCGCTATTGCTGTAAAGCAGAACCACGGACCGCTCGTGCGGTTTCACCTGTGTTGAACGTGCAGGTTTAAGTTTAACCGCGTCCCCTCTCTTGCTTGGTGGTCTGCAGGACATAAACTGCTACTCTGCTTTCTTGTCGATACAGTTGTATTGAGGTTATCAGCCATGCGCAACAACGAGGAAAAATGTAACCAAGTAAAATGAAACCTGTTGGAAAAACTCCCTTTCGCTGGCGATGTCGCGCAGCACTCCGTGCCCCTGGGATTTCCAGTATCCTGTGTGAAAACGTCCCTACCTCCCCATAGTTGTCATGCAGGTTTGCATCTACAGAAAGAGAAACACCTGTAATGCACATGCGCATGAGAGAAGTGTGTAGTTGTGTTGTTCTGGGAAGATTTGTAATGCTGTAAATGGGATAACTAGGCGTCTTTGTGGTGCGGCTTTCCTTCCAAACCAGCACTAGACTGCAGATGGAAACTAAACTTCACATGCGTGCCGAACCTCCAAAACTTGGAGATTTGTGTTGCAGGTTTACCAACCTGACTATGGGGTGTTTATGTACTGGAAAGACCAAATTAAAGCACAGAGAAACTTCAAATTTTCAGATGAAAAAGAGGGGAGAACGAACTACGACGAGAAGAGAAGCATAATCTATGTGGCCACTGTGTATGTGAGGTATCTATTGCGATGCGCGTGCTGGCATGGGCTGGGGACTTCTGCCCTCAGGGTCCCGCAGGCTCTGGCTGGGCTGCAGTTCTGACCTAGAACCTAGGCAGCCCAGAGCCTGTGGGTGCTCGCGTAAGTAGAATCAAGGTCATGCGAATAGCACACTGAGGGTGCCGGCTCACTACTATTCGCTGAAACTACTACCGTCCACAACCATCTGCCTTCGCGCAAACTAGAATTATTATATGTGTATTTTGACTTAATGGACTATTACTTAGTACTACTATATTGTATGGAAATGATAAAGAATAAAACTACTACCAAAAGCTCTCCAAGAGAGCGCAGCATAGTGCTGTATTTGTGTGTATTGACTATGGGGTGGGGACGTCGTTTTTGCTCAGGATATCCAGTGCTGCGTCATTTGCTGCTCCCGCCGAAGTTGCTCCTTCCGTTTCTCGCGCAACAGCGCTAGCTCGTCCATCTCGCAGCTCGTAGCGCTCGGGTTGTTTCGATGCTGCTCCCCCTTTTCTACCAGCAGCGTGCTGGCATATGCAGAGTTCATATTCTTGTCGTTTTTCACGGTGCTGTCCTTGAGAAGAACGTATGCATATTGCAAATATGACGTCTGGGTCTACGGGAAAGAAGTTGAGCGGGTATCAATAAATCTTGAAAACAACTGAAAAAAAGTGTACCCTGCACAGCCACGCATGACGAGTTTTGCTGGAATGGCTGTGCGGTACCAGTTTGTTTAAGTGCAAATGGAAATAAAACGCGGGCCACCAAAAGCTACAATATTCCAAGATTGCAAATATCTGCCACTTGCCACAAAAGAAAGACCCACACGCCATTAGAGTTCTTTCCAATACTATCCAACGAAAAAACTGTTTCACTGTGGTAATTTTGCAAGATCTGCAACACAAGTTTGTTACACATGACAAAGAAAACTTGGCATGCGTGCTTCCTAAGGGAAAACACAGCTAGAAATCCAATGTGTTGCATGTGTAGCAAGACAAACACATTTGCGTTCCGTTCTATGCATCACAAGTTTACAGAGAAACAGTTTTTTCTCGCGATAAATGCGTAGTATATCGTCCTTCGCCACATTCGCGGTCTCCCGCAGGTCCTCGCTATGAGAGTGCACAACCTCCCCGCCTCCCCCTCATTTGTATTGCATGGACAGCAATGCAAACACCCGCACATGTGGGGTCCGTACATGACAAGTTCGCGCGCGTAATGTAGTACTGTTGGGGCTCCTTCCGGAAAAATCTGTCATGCAAATAGTACCACAGGGCAGCGCTTGGATTTGGTATTTTGCATGACAAATGAGGGAGAGGGGGAGTTCTGCATTGTCATACTCGCACTGCGCCGCGTACTGGCGGGCCTTCAGCCTTTGGAATATGGCGTTCTCAACTGTTATATTCTCAACTGTTACATGAATTTGTGATGCAAGAATGGCAAAAGTGATAGGAGAGATCTTGCGCGTCTTGCATGACAGATTTGGCGCCGATTATCGGCCTGCTTGGCCCTCTGAGAATTTGTCATGCGAAGCAGCTTGATGGTGTAGATTCTGAAGGCAATTCTGCATGACAAATTCATGTAACAGTTGAGAATGTAACGTCTGAGAACCCCATATGGAAGTCCTGCTCTTTCGAAAACGACCCGTCCCGCTATGCAATACAAATTTCCATTCCCGCACATGTACAAAATGCATGAAAAATTTCGCTAATTTACTTAGAGTGTCAATAAAAATGTCATGCTGGTTAAGATTGAACTCTTGCAGGGAAGTTGTGTCATGCAGAAACAGCATTTTCGCTCGTCGTGTGGGAGAAATTTCTTGTGGATACCCGCCCCGTCAAGCACATGAAGCCCCGCTGTCCGGTCTGGCTCGGGTCGCCCAGATTCTTCAGCCGTTGCTCCGCGTCGACCTTATTGGCTTTACTCACCAGGTCTTCAAATTTGCCGGATCGCTATGGAATGGAAATTATCTGTCTGGGTCCTCTGGAAGAATGCAAGCTTATTTTTTTCATGCTTGTCATTTCACCTGGCTGCTAAATCTGTAATGCAGGAGCAGGAGTAGAAAAGCCTCGCGCCTGTCATGAAAAAATGCAGTTTGTCATGCGGAAAGCGAAACACATATAGAAGGAGCTCAAAATAAACTTGTCATGCGCGGCTGTGTATTGCAGTTTCTTCCCACAATTCAGAAGCTAGCATCACAAGTTTCCAGACATCCAGACACACTTGCATTTGGTAGCCGCAGGTGGTCTGCGATTTCCAACTCCTTCTCCGTGATCTCGAGCTGCAAATCTGTCTGGATGTCTGGAAGAGTGGAACCTGTATTGCTCGGCCTGCATATCTGTAAAGTCTGTGTTGCGTGACTGAGAACAGAAGCGCGGCTTCTTTCGTCAAGCAATATTATGCAGTTTCTAATGCGCGCTACGCATGAGAAGGAGTAGCTTGTCATGCTTGGCTGCGCTCGAGAAAATGCTCGGCAATGACAATTCAGCGCCACAAGTTTCCAGACCCAGACATATTTGCAATGCATACGTGATCTCGGGCTGCAATTCATGCGGCTGCAGGCGATCGTCACGCAAGCAGCCCGTGAAGTCGGCCGATGAAGTCTGTTGGGGCATGTTGTGATTTATTTCTTAACTCAAAACAATGTTTCAGGTGTATCAAAGCAGAGAAATAAACACAGCGCAGCTCGATTTTTCACCTCGTCTTGATGCCCCCTCGACGTCTACTTCTAGTACGGGGTAGGTGGCTCATTTCGGTAATTTTTACGTATGTTACATGGAGAAAAAAGTTGCACAGTTGCACAGTGTCGGAGTCGAGAAAGACGTTGCAAACACACCGGAGCTTCGTGTTCCTTCTTATTCCTTCTACCAAAAAAAAACGGTGCGACAAGAGGCCAAATGTCGCCTGAAGCCTAAGGGCATTTAGATCTTGCTACTCCGGCTGTGTAAAAAAGCGAGCGGCAAATAATGGATGAAGAACAGTGTCGGCAGATGAAATTAATTCTGTCCATCACCGTATCAGCGATGCAACTGATACGCGGAGATAATTGGCGCATGAAAAATCACGACACCAGACACAAGATGCTCCATGCTGTTCTTCCCTCGCTTTATTTACTCAAATGATTTTTTTATCCCCGGCGCAAGAAGAAGGTTTTTCTACTTGCCAAGAATTTTGCTATACTTGTTCCAACATGATACTTGAAATGTGATGATCAACATCCGGCTCTTGTATCACGACCAACTGTGCCGTGTGCCGTGTGCTACTAGCAAATCCTTTTTTCGGATTCAAATTGAAATTGATTGCTATCGGTGTCATGGAAATAAAAAACTATATCTTGTTGTCCTGTCGCTAGTGCAACTACAAGTGCAACAAGCGGTGATTTTTACTACAAGTTATCTTGCTCTTCCTTGTTTCTGAATCGTGATTTAACTCTCTTCGCCGTGACCTGAGTGAGGATATCGACGAGCCACTCTATTTTGAAAACAAAAACATTGAGATGAAGCGCTTGACTTTGTAAACAGTATTAAATCCATTCGAAAAAATCATCTGCAGCACAGAGGTGCTCATCATTATCGCAAGAAAAAACTGCTTCACTGTAAACTTGTGATGCATAAAATGGAACACAGAAGTGTTTGTCTTGCTGCATATGCAAGAAAGAGGATTTTTAGCTGTGTTTTCCCTTGGGAAGCTTGCATGGCAAATTTTCTCTGTCATGTAAAACGAACTTGTTATGCAAAACTTGCAAAATCCTTACAGTGAAACAGTTTTTTCGTGGGACAATCACTCCTCTGTCTCTACTGCTGGGGGTGTTAAGAAATCAAAATTTTGTTGTCTGAAGTAGTAGACGGCTCTACTCGTCTACTCAAGTACATAGGAGAAGACACCGCGATGCATCTTATGGTTTCTGTTTTCTGTGACAAAAAAGTGTGCAAAAGCTTTCAGAATAGCAAAGCCCGCGTGAGAAATAAGTATTCTTGGGAGAACTACAAAGCCTCACATTGCCATGTTCTCTTTCAACCAGGCGACGACCTTGTGCTTCATTTCTTTATCCGACACGCAGTCTTCGAGCCGCAGCGGCTTTTGCGTGAGCGGGCACACCGATATGCATTGCAAACATGTCTGGGTCTGGAAGAGTGCCACGCTTGTCATGCAGATTTTACATGACCCATGACGTCTGTAATGCATAACCTGGCATCACAGATTTTTAGCGGGCTTTCTGATGCCTATCCCGCATGAGAGCTGCCCTCTCTATGTAGCACAAACTGGACCCCTCTTGCTGGTGGTCATGCAATACAGATTTTTTTCGAATGCAGAGACAGCATCACACGTTGCAATCTTCCAGACCCAGACATATTTGCATTTGATAACCGAGCCGCACGACTCAATCCACTTTTCCAGCGTTTTCTTCTCGAAGTAGTTGCCGTAGGGTGACCGTATCGGGTTGGTCATGTATGAACTGCAAAAGCATCGTACTAGTATAAATTGCATTACAAATTTCCTCAGCATGAGAAATAAAATTTGTAATGCGGATTTACCTTGAGAAAAAAATTGTAATGCACGATTGATAGTCATATCTACAAGATCTTTGCAAGACTTGCGAATAATTCAAAATGCTCAAGAGTTCAAGAGTTCAGTGCATCTTTTGAGTTCGGTTCACCCTTTGAGTTCAGTTCACCATTTGAGTTCAGTTCACAACTTGAGTTCAATTCACTATTTAAATTCAGATATCTTCAAGTCATAACCTCATACTCAAAAGATTCGAATCTCAATTCTCAATCTCAAATCATAATCGAATCATCTCAAAAGTCGCAACTTCTTATCTCATCTTGGAATCATCAACATCTTATCCTATCTTAAAAATAAAGTCATAATCTTCTCAAAGTCATAGTCTCAATCTTCATAATTGAATCGACGAGCCTTCATCAAGATGTCAGTCTTCATCTCAAAAGTCATAAATTTAGATCTTGAAGCTTTAATCTTATATCTAAAAACTATTCATATTACAGATCGGGGCGCAATATCATCATATCGCAAGGGGGGGGGGGGCGCGGGGGGGGGCGAGGGCCCCCCGCATGTAAGTCTTCATCTCAAGAATAAAAATCATTCATACAGATTGAGGCGCAATATCATCACATCGAAAGGGCGGGGGGGGCGCGGGGGGGGGGCGAGGGCCCCCCGCATTGAGTCTTCATCTCAAAAGTCAGAAATTTAGATCTTGAAGTTATAATCTTATATCTAAAAATTATTCATATTACAGATCGGGGCGCAATATCATCACATCGCAAGGGCGGGGGGGGCGCGGGGGGGGGCGAGGGCCCCCCGCATGTAAGTCTTCATCTCAAAAATAAAAAATAACTCATACAGATTGAGGCGCAATATCATCACATCGAAAGGGCGGGGGGGGCGCGGGGGGGGGCGAGGGCCCCCCGCATGTGAGTCTTCACATCAAAAGTCATAGGCTTAGATCTTAAAGTTGCCAAGATATCTGCAAACCAACGAGACTGCCCAGGGAAGGAAGCAAACGCGGGAGCAGGCTGAGGCCCATCAGGCTATAACAAACCATGGCGAACATCTTCGATCGATCGGAAATACGGCGGCAGCTACTCCGGTAAAAAGCCGCTCACAATCTTCTTTCATTCATATATAGAAAGCAAAATCCCCAAAGGAAGTCTGAATAGAGCGCGTATACATTATGACTATATCACAAAGAGACCTGTCGGCAGGACTTCTAAAAAAAAAACCAACCGGACACGTCGACCCTAAATCTGCCAAGATCTATGACCAGTGCAGCGCTGACGTCGGAAGCAGTGCGACATCTGGCCGCACCGTAGAAAATGCTGCGTCGATGGCGTCCGTATAGTCTTCCGAGATTCCCACGACTTCGTCCAGAAAAAATTTCGCCCGATGCCACGAAATCAGCCACCAGTCCCCAGTCGCCAGGCGAACACGATGGCGCTCGCTTTCCTTCTGGCGCTTCGGCTTCTGCGAGGTGAAAAACCACGACACAATGTGGCCACTGGCGGCCTTCGAATCCCCGGCCCAAATGTACTCCGCCGCAACCCCCCTAGCGTTCGGCTCCCTGTGCTCCTTCTGCGCACCCGTGCGCCGGTGGTAAATGACATCCCGGCGAATTGGCGCAAATCGGCCGCGCTCGCGCGAACCATGCTCCTCCTTCGACATTGTGTGCGTGGCGGCTAAGTATCTGAATGTCTTCAAGAAACTAGAAAATAAAAGCGTAGCAGGAAAGAAAGACAGCTTGCTGGAGGAAAAAAATAAAAGCGTTGGCGGCGATCATAGATCTAAACTAATGCATGAAGATGACAACAGAGGCGCACTGCAAACCAACGCTCTGAGTGCAGTCTGCATGGGTGAGACGGAAATAGGTGGTCGCTGTTTGGAAATAGGATGCGCATGGCCGAGGGCATGCGATATATAAGACAAGACTTTCAACATGAGCGGCCTACGCGCCTACCGCGGCTGTTTTCCGCTCTCCGGCACTCTACGGTCTAAAACGATCCACGGCGCGACGATTCAAGTGCGGGCCACTAGCGCAGCCAATTTAAGAACGTAATCAAGTCAATACTCCAAGCCTACGGCGGAGATCCAAGCGCCTGCTAAGTACCTAGAGCGATCGGGCATGGGGCTAAGGCGTTCGACTTCTATCTTCTTTCAAAAGAGGGCTCGGCCTGCTGCAAGTATGCGCCGTCCCCCTAGCGGGGGCAGGTGGCGGCGCGCATGCATGTTCACGCGGAATCTGCCCGAGGTGTGTCCCCTGCCAGGCATGATTTACCGCCCCGCGCGTCGTGCGCTCGGGTCGCGGTGTCAATCGCTTCCAGATCAGATGCTGTTTGCAGTTTATGCCAAGTTACGTCGCGCTGCCCCGTGCGCTGCTTCCCCGCCCCAGACTGTGAACTCTGTGAAAATTGCTCTTTCTAGCGCAAGTTTGCGATGTCAAACCGAGCGGGCGAAGCTATTCGAGTCTCGTTGCAATTACTACGAGTACGATACTTTTGCACAGGATATCATGACCTTGCCGTCGATCTCGCAACGGAACTCCGGTGGTGCGTTATCCAAAGGAAAAAACCCCCCTCCCCATACTGAAAAGGTATATGTTTGGAGATTTGTGATGCTGATTTGTAGTCACAAATCGTATCTGTCTTGCAAGAAGCCAACTCCGCAGGCTCCGCCGCATTGTGCAGGCGGTTTGTCATGCTCTTGGGCCTACAGCGCGATTTTTTTTCATGCTAAGTGCCTAGGCCAAAGCCTCTCTATTCACACTTAATATGGGCCTGCAGTGCTCTCCAGCATGACAGCTCGGATTTGTGTACACACATCCAGCATCAGAAACTTCGTTTTGATATGGGCAGGGGGGATTTTTCCATTCAATATGCGTCGATGAGTGATCGCGAGGCGATCTTGATCTTGCCCTTTTCCTTCTTCTCGCTTATGAAATGCAAATATGTTCGGGAGGTCTGGAAACTACTTGTAATGCTGAATAGTCAGGATTGACTGTGCCTTTAAGCGCAGTACAGCATGACCAAATTTTCAAACGCTTTCTCAAGCGCAGAACGCATTACAAACTGCGCTTTTGCAAGACGAAAGCGAAACTGTAGCGCTTTACATATAATTTGCTGTGTACTGTACGCAATACAGATTTTTTAAATATGCGACACACGCAATACAGGTTCAACCTTTCCAGAACCAGACGGCATATTTGCAGTTGATATCCTTTTTGTTTTCCTGATTGGTGTCCAGGGCAGGAAGGTCGCCCAAGTTTGTCTGGTCGTATTGGCTTGTTGCCGGGACGGCCTGCTGCTGCGCTTGCTGCTCGGCGAGCTGTATGAATTGCAAAAATGTCTGGGTCCGGAAGGTTGGAACTTGTCATGCTGAATCTGAATCACGCAAAACTCTGTGTTGCATGATTACCAAATGCTGCCTACTTTTGATCAAGTTGAGAGGCAGTTTTTTCACGCAGGATAGGCATGATAGTGATCTCACGGAATCTGTCATGCTAGGTCCTCCATTACAGATCATATGGGTCATGGAAAACCTGCATGACAAGTCGAGCAAAGTTCCAGACCCGGACATTTTTGCGTTTGATAAGCTGTGCCGCCTGCTCCGCGGCTTGCTGCTGCTCCATGAGATCCCTGGTGGAGGGGTGGTAGATAAAAGAATTTGGGTTTTATTCTTTTTCAACATGCGGGGGCGGTGCTGTGTGTTCGTACGGTACTTCGTGCGTTCACTTCATTCACCTCTGGGGGGTGAAAGTGAAAAAACGATAGCTAAATACTCTCCTGCAAAGAATCAAAAGTGACGTTGTATACAGGTTTTCCCTTTCCTGTGCCACTGCTGCGGGGTCGTACTGCGTATTCAAAACTTGCCCAGACAGGGAGGCCAGCTGCTCTTCAAAAATTTTCGCTTGGAGCTCGGTGTAGGGCACCTTTGTTTTTAGATACCAGACTTCACTTCCTCCGCTGTCTTCTTCACGAGTAAGTACTTACTATGAGAGTCTCATGCAAAAAATGAAATAGGTTGCAGCGAGTGTATTTTTTGCATTTCATCATCCAAAAATCACTATAGTACAAATAAATACGCAGTCGTCCATTATGAGTGGCTGCCCGCAGATTGGGTCTGTCGCACTAAACTGTAGCCAATCCGCGAGCGCTTGCCGGTCGAAGACGTGGCCGTAGGGGGTCTTTACTGGGTCCGTCATAAACGCGCCCGACAACTGGCACAAGGCGTCGTTGTCCGCGTTTTGCTGTAACTCCGTACCGGGTTCCTGCTGGTACTGCTGGTCCTCGGGATTTTGCCCTTGCCCACTGCCATCCTCCAATATTGTTTGAAAAACCACTTCATCCATCACCTTCACCCTCAGTCATTTTTGTCATATTATGAGAATTGGTGAAGTCAGGCAGGTCCAAGTTTCAATGTCTACACGGCCACATACTGCAACATGAAGCGAGTGCGCATGACAGATTGTGGGTTGTCGATGTGATGGTGATTTTGCAAATTCGATATCCATTTCCTCTGTGTCTGACTCTTCTTCGCTGTCGAACATGCTATCTGTTTTGAGAATTTGCGAAACAGTTATTTCTCCTCTCCCCTGTGCTATCGTAGTATCGGTGTACTTAGCTGCTTCACAAGCTTCACAATACATAGCGACAGCGAGGACGATAATATGCATGACAAACAACTCGCTTTTTTACCTTTCTCCTTCTTTCGGACCCACTGCAGGCCGTATTTTCCATTTCGTTTTCGTGTTCGATTCTTGGTTATGGAAAGGAAACCAATAGTTTTTTCGTACTTAAAGCCCACCAGCAAGAATCATCATGCCTCATGCCTACCTTTCCGCAAGAAGGGCGCGCTAAGTTTTGTTTATTCTCTGTCACCCGGAGGTTCCAAAAACATCCTAGTCGCTCACGCACATCTTGAGCTGCTGTGGCTTTAATAATGTGAAACCATTTACATTGTTTTCCCATCCCATACTCTTTCTTCTCCATTTGCTGCGCCCTCTGCCCTCCTCGTCGTCACCCGTAACTGAGTTTTTGATGTGCAGTTGTGTCAACGACAACGTCAAGTATCAATCTGCATGAAAGGCACGACTTGTGCTGCAGACATCGCATTACAGATCCGCGCCTGCTATTCAGAAAAAAGACGCGGGCCGCCTCTCCAGCAGCACAGCTGTGGTCGTCGCAGCCTGCAACAGAACTGCTCGCACAGCCACCCGCAGGACCCCGCGGTTGTGCACTGCGAACAGCGTGTGAGCATCCCGTAGGATATGCCGGGCTGCCGCCGGAGCGATGGGTTGTAACGCCGTTCCAAACAGTGTTCCTACCCACGTGCTTTCATTTTCTTACAAATGGAGGATCGGGTAGCCAGAATTGCTTTGCTAAATACTACGAAGAAGTAGATTCGGAGGAAACTACTGCAAAGCGGAAGCACGAGGTTCGGCTACAGAAGTTGTTAAGTACCAGCACACAAACAGCTTTTTACCCACTTGAATGACATTTTTACTTGACAAAAAAATCCTTTGATTACTTACCTCCCATCCCATTCGCCCCGACGTCGTCCGAAATTTCGCCGAACAAGAAGGGCATCATCTGCATGGCCTTCACATTCGCCCGCGACAGGGGCAGACTATGTCCCGAAGACTCCACCACCCTGCGCTGCAACCGCTGCTGCCTTTCGGGCGGCAGCTGCGCATACGCCTGCTCGACGACTTGAAGAATCTCGTCCTTAAACCTTGCTTTGCTAATATCGGCGTTGACCAGAATCTTGAAAATCAGTTCCATATGGGTCAGGCTGGAGGGGACTAGTGGCGCCTCCAAGATGCGCAGCAAAAAGTCCGTGTCCTGGATATAACTTGCTCAGCTGCTACAACCTCATCCTCAAATCGGTTACCCTAGAATATGAAAATCTGTGAAGCAAGAACCCTACTCCCACAGGATTGCGCATGACAAGTTCTGGAGTCCCAATCCGCACTAGAATCTGGCGACATTTGTATTGCAGAAAGTGAAACGCTGCGCGTATCTGTCATGCTCATCCTGCAACACAAAACCCAGACTGTATTGTAACGCTTGATGAGATTGTAACGGTTGAGCAGGTCATACTGGAAGTGCGCACGGAAAACGTTGATGTTGAACGTGATGACAACGAAGGTCTGCAGTGTCGCCTTCAGGTTTTGGTACTCAATCCCGTCGAGAGTAAATTTCGTGTTTTCGTACCTGAAATGTTGATACTTAAGTCATAATGGGTTTTTTGTGCATGTTAAGCAGAAAAAATGAAAAGAAACAAAGATCTTTAGTACACGATTCCCATGCGAACTCTAGCAACCACCATTGAAGTGAAAATCAGAATACAGTGCCGGCAAGATGTTGTCAACGTAGGGGAACATGATGTCTTGGATTATCGTTGATTGCGTCGCCATATGAATTGCAAAAGTATCGCACTTGTATAAATGCATTGCAAATTTTCTCAGCATGAGAAATAAAATCTGTAATGCTGATTTACCCTAAGAAAAAGCTTTGTAATGCATGACTGCAATACGAGTGCGATACTTTTGCACAGGATACGCCAGGTGCATCCTTAATTTCTTCTGGTTTTCGCTGCAGTACAGCAGGCAGTTGTATGACAGTGCACAACTCCCTTTGCTCCGCCAGATTTGTATAGCATGAGCGGCGAATACAAGCATCAGCAAGAGTACCGGTTTTACATGACAAATTTGCACTGGAGCGTAGTGCTATTTGGGTTACCAGAACTTGTCATGCATACTCGTGACAGGAGGGAAAGCGTAGAGTTGGTATTCTGCATGAGAAATGAGATCAAGGGGGAGTTGTGCACTATCATAAGTTGTGCAGCGCGGTGAGAAAGAACCGGATGATGATATCCGTTCGCAGATGCGACTGCTGGTGCTGGCAAATGCAGCGCCCAAAGGCGTCTACCAGTTCGAACTCAATGATAGACATGATAAGTCCGTTCACGTGCTTGTTCAGCAGGGCGGTGAGTTTCGCGGGGATATGGGAAGGGAAAAAGATTGGACAGCAAATTTACACTCGGTGGACAGGATTTGTGATTTTGTGATGCAGATGCGACAATAGAGTTGTAGTAGCTATTGCCAGCACCACGAATACGATGCTGCTGATTTATCAACTGTTGCTGTGCTGTTCTTGTTCTGACGCGCATTCTGTGGCTCATGAATACACGCATCACAAATCCTCCCTACGTCCTCGCTGTTGGATCCAATCGTCTTTTTCTTCCAGCGTAAATGTCTTGGTTGTTGTAATCCTCATCCATCTTCTCATCGCGAAAAAACCTGATACGTTGTTTTCTATTTTGCTGTACTGCTAGTGTTAGTGATCATGAATGGTGCGCATGACAAATCATATCATGCGTCTCAATCATGCATCACAAAACTCCTGATTATACACTGCATCCGCTGTCGTCAAGTCCACCAGACATCGTGCTGCTGCCTCCTGCGTATCCAAGACCAAGAATTTTCTCGAGTTGCGCCTTGGAACATCAAATGGTCCCGTCTGTATTGAGAAATGTTGCAGCGGATGCAACCCTGTATTTTTGCAATCCACGTACTACTGCGTGGTATCGTGTCTACAGATGATGATGACATCTTCAACAACTTTATCCCTGTCATAACCTCGAAACTTCAAATTCTGTCATGGATACTGCAGCTGAAACGTGCACTCGCCGCACCGGATGACGAAGCACACAAGTGACACCGCACCGGCTATGTCGTTATTCGTGAGTTCCATTAAATGCTTGCCGGTCACCGTTTCGTACCCTACTACTGAAAAAAGCGTCTGGAGCATGTACCTGAATTTCAGTTTTGAAGTATTTATAATTCGGTTCCATTTATTTTCATCGGGGGGCTCGGAAGGACTTTTATTGCGATGAGTTGTTGCGGTTCTCTGTCTTCTGTTCGCGCATGACAAACGCAAGTTCCGTCCTAAAGATAGAACAAGCACGTAGTTCTGAAAAAGATTTTTTCTATTGCAAAATTATCCGATATACATCCTCAACAAGCCGGTCACCCCAGGCTGCACCCATTCGTAGGTTTCGACGCAGTTGAGCAACACATCGTAGATTTCGTTGATGTTCATCAACAGTGCCACCAAATGCTCCAGCACCCGCTCCTGCCCCAGGAACATGGAGATTTTGGTCAACGCGGCAAAGCACGTTTCGTACAGCTCGAAGTTTTCCACTTCCGTGCCGCATATCGCGAATTCCAGGCAGTTATACAGAATCGACACGGAGTTCGGGTCCCCGTGCTTGCTCATGCCCCAGGCGCCAAGCAAGTCCCCGAAATCCGGGTGGAAGTCATCAGTTTCCTGCTTTGCCTTCAACTCCTCTTGCAGCGTCTGGAGTAAAAGCTCAATGTCGTCATTGAGGACTTCGAAGTCCACCTCATCGGGCCCCGACATCTTGGCGGCTGAGGTGGAAATGTGGTTTCAACAACAAGGTTGCAGGATGTAATATCCCCGTCTCGTCCTCGGCGTGGTAATTCGTGAAGAAAGCAACAAATACAATCCCGTCAACAGAGTCGCATTTTTATTCAGTCTCACTCTCAGCAGTTAAATAAAGTTGCACGGAAAATAAAGTTGTAGTTTGTCATCCATATTGAAGCTGCTTGAAAAAAATTCCCCGCTACAGAGCCAAGTGGCTCTTATTCATGTTTAGAAGGTTTATTTGCTTTGATTTAAGATGGTGCTGTGCAATCTAGCGGGTCGTCATTTCTCATTCGTGAAATAACACGACCGTGTAGTAATTCATCTAGAAGAGGATACAGGACACTGGCAGCCAGGTTTTTTGAAAACAAGAACCTCCACAGCACTCGTTACTACCAGTCACTTACATGCAACTACACGACCACTCCGGGGCATGGGCTGTTCACTCCATATCAGTGTGAAGAACTTTATTCCAATCGCTCTCATGGTCTTCCACAACTGAACTTTATCCTTTCGGAGTAGAAGTTCGAGGAGTTTGAATATCATGTAATCCTTCCCTCAGTTCCTTGCATACGGACGCGTGGTCACGGTGGTGGTCGCGTCGTGAAACACGACAACGCTCAAGTGGAGGATGAACACGTATTTTTACCCCAGAACGACAGGTGTACTACTTCTACCAGGAATGCGTTTTTGCTGGTACTACTGTCGACGTATGCTATTCTACCTATCACTTGCCGCGGTCCTCGCCTGTAGGACGACCTGTACAACAACATTTACTCTTTTGTCATTTGGCAAAAAATCCACCTGGCATATACGGTGTTCTCCTAAAATTCGGCACAATTTCCACGTACCACGGACGAGAATATTCGTGGCGGTGGCCACGATGAACATCATAGTGCCATAAATCACTTCCTCTCTATTATCACGTTGCCATTCCCCGCAACTGCGCCACCAGGGCGAGCATCCTTGCGGCGAACGCCTCCAACGCAAAAATCTCCTTTCCCGATTTCGCGATGGACACCGTGTAAACGCTCGCGACGTTCCAGATCTGATCCGTGATGGCCGGCGCCATCTCCGCCATTTGCACGCAAATGGTTTCGAGCACCAACTGGGCACTGATCGTGGCCGCGAGCAGGGTGTAAAACTTCGCCCGGATCTCCAGCACCGTTTTTGGCACAAAGGGCCCGCCGAGGAGGGACGTGGCGATGGACTTGCACAACTTCTCCCACGGCGCGTCAGGAATCTCCTGCATCCACTGCGGCTGCTGCTGGTTCGCCATCATGGTGACCATCGTTTCCAGAATTAACAGCGCTTTCCGCATGTCCTGCCTGCAAGCGTGGACGATTTTTTCGAAGTTGGTGATCCCGATCAGGTTGTGCAGATTCTCCTTCTCGAGCGTTTTCTTCAAATTCGCAACTATCTCCCCCTCGCTCGGCAACGGTAGTCGGTACACGTAGCAACGCGACTAGTATGAGAGTTCATAACTCCCCCTCATTTGTATGACATAAAGAGCATTACAAACACCACCCAGTACAGGTGGACCGTGTGCATGACAAGTTTATGCGCCGAGTGTAGAAGTACTGTTTGGATTTCCGGAATTTGTCATGCACGCGGTGCCACAAGGTAGCAGCTGGATTTGGGTTTTTGCATGACAACTGAGGGGGAGGGGGAGTTGTGCACAGTCATAACTGGATGGGAAGAATCATGGCCCCGATGCTGTTGGAGACGAAAATGAACCGGTTTGTCTCCGTATCCAAGACAAAAACGTTGTTAGTGTAAATTTGTGATGCGCAACATGAGAGATGACTGCGTCTGTCATGCTTGGCATGCATTGTAGGGTTCATTACAGGGCGTTTTCACGTACTATCTGCGCATGACAGGTTTTTGCTGTCATGCCAGACAGATTTGTAATGCTGTTCCTCCAAAAAAGATACACCTACAATGTTTTTTTCTTGGATACTCCGATCGCACCTCGATCAGCCGGCGCAGCGCGGTCTGACACTCGTTTGACAGCTTGTCTGCACCTTTAAGAATCACCACCTTGAAGGCCGCGCGGTTCAGCTGTGAAAAAGAATAAGAAGTGAATGCGAAATATAATATCCAGGGCTTCGTCTTTGTGTCCTGCACAACCTCAGTGCGATTCAGTCGCGCGAGGATCATCTTAATAAGTAAGTACTATATGCACATCAATTCTACTCATGTCGTAGTCCGTGCTTCAGCTTCATCGCGCGTCAACGTCGAACAGTTTGTTGTGAAAGAAACACCTAACACTACAAATACCGGCCGCTCCCCGGTGAACTCTTTGAGCAAAGTTTTCGCCACTTTGACATCTTTGATTCCCACGTCAGACAGGTTGATTTCCATGTGAAACAGCGAGGTTTTGGCACAAATCTCAAACTTTCCACTGCCCTCGCCGCAGATTCGCATTTTGGTCGTGTTGTCGTCGATCGAGTGCCCGAAAATCTGCCGGAGCAGGGCGTAGACCTGTGGAGTAGAGGGATTAGGTTTTCCATTTGTTCCACTTCGCTCGTATGGCAAGACAAATTCAAATTCCAACCATGCTCGGTGGCAATCATGCAATACAATTTTGAGTTTCCTGTCGTAGTATACATTCATACATGGTCTATACCCTGGTCATTTTCCCAGCGCCATTTGGTCCGTACAACAGCAGATGCGGCAGCTCTTTCGACTTCGCCGCGTTGAGCATGAGACGCGAAAACTCGCCGTGGAAATCCATATCGTCCAAATATTGCGGCTGGTACTTGTCCACCCACAGCAGCGACGGGCCCTCCGCGGAAGGTTTCGTCACGATTCTTCGTTTCTTCAAAACGAAAAAGTCCTCCTTGCTAGCCGCCGCGCCGTCGTTTTGGTTTATTCCGACAGCAGGAGGAGCCATGGGGTGGAGACCACCTGTTGTCCCAGAAGTAGAGGAAGCCCCGGCCACCGCACCACCGTCTTGCTGATAATTCCCCGTCGCCATTAGCAGTGGGTGCGGTTTATTTTCAGTGGTGGCATCTGCTGCAGCGGCACTACCTGCAGCTCCACTATTGGCTGCGAACAACCCCTTAGCAGTAGTACCTGCGGTGCTGGAAGAGGACGAAGAACTGGCGCCGCCCTGGTTTGTGGTCTGCTTCGAAGAAGTTTGCTTAGAACCAGCCGGCCGCTTCATCGGCTGGGCCGCAGTGGTGCCCGGCTTCGGGAGACCCAGGAGACTACCCAACATGGTTCTTTCACTTTTGCTACTAGCTCGTGCTACAAGGGGGCAACACGGCTTGTAGCTTTAGTTCGAGCTACACCTTGGTTTAGCTTAGTTACTTCTCAACTATGCGCAAATCGCTTTTATCATTCCGAGCTCGGCTGCTTCGATGTCTATCTAATGCTAGAATGAAAAGGAACATCCCTGAAATAAAGCCGGTTGATGTTGGTGCTGCTGCTAAATGAGCTGCTGTTGATGTCTCTGCGTAACTAGAGTTCGCGATGATCTCGGTAACCGGACTGTGAAGTGGCCTTTGTTCTGAGGGTAATCGTAATGCCTACAAGATATTAGTATACCAAACAACGGGTTGCAAAAGGGCTACAGATTGACTCGCCATCTTCGTCCTTTGGCAAAAGAATAGGCGAAGAGGAAGAGTCATCTAGAGTCATGAACATCATGATCCTCAAACCTAAATGAATGATCCTCGATGTTGTTGGTGGTGCACCATGGAAAACACCAAAAATGGATCTTCTCTGTCTCCGTTCAAACACGACACTGCTGGAAGATGTAGCTGAAGCGGAAAACGACTGACCTGTGCTTCACAATCAACATGATGCCCCCGGCTGCAGTATGTCCTCACCTGCGGACCAGGATTAAGCCGATTACTTAGAACAGCTACATCAAATTTAATCTGTTACAAGGCGGAAACAATTCGGATAAAATCAGAGCAATATTCTCGGGAAGAAACTACTGCTTTTCCGTGTGATAGATGTAGACTACGACGCCAGCGAATAAAACATGGAAAAGAATCTCGAAAATGAAACATCAGAACTCAATTTTTCATTTTTGTTTCACGAGCCAGAACATCATCTCCTCAACAACCGAGCAGTTTATTTGGTCGCTCCTCTCTTCTAGTCGTGTCATTCCCTCAGTACGTCACGAAAGACGACGGTTCCGGTGTGTCAGCTTGCTCCGCTGATTCGACGTCGTTCAAGCGGTCCATCTCATTGAGCTGCGTCGTCCACTCCGACTCTTCCTGTTTCTTCACGCGCCGCACGTACTTGTTCAGGGGCGTAGAGTTTTTGATTTTAACGCCCCCCGCCTCCGCGTCCTCCTGTTGTCCTTGGTGCTCGTCCTGCTTTTGTTTATTCGCATTGACACTTCTGTCCACGTTTACGTCCGCCGATTCGACAATCTCGGCACGATCGTGGTCCTGGCTGTATCCTGAGTAAAAACCTCCCCACCTCAGAGTTAAGATGGGAATTTCGCTACACAAATCAACACGTTCTGGCTGCTGCGCATGACAAATTTGGCTCGTAGTGTGAGCCCATTTAGGTAGTGAAAGCTGCATAACAAATCGCCCATCTTATCCTGCTTCTAGCATGACAAGTTCCCAGGCAGCCATAGAAAGCGCTGCTTTGTGGCTCCTGCGCATGAGAAACATTTTCGGCATGCAGATGTGCATTACAAACCTGGTGCGGGGACCTTTTTACAGAGGATAGGCTGCCTTTGCTGCTCATTTTTTCCTCCTCCTTCGCATTTGTTGACAACGCCCCGGCGGTGGCCGCGGGGGGTTCTCCACTACGATCATCATCAAAACTGCGATCATCGCACACTGGCGCCGTGAAGATCATCTTCTTCTGCGAGGTCGTGGGTGAGCTACTTGAGGCTGACGTAGCTGGCCCGGAGCTGCTGCAGGCGCACATCCGACCGCCGAGTGTGGAGTTCTCAAACGTTACATTCTCAACTGTTGCAATGCAACAGTTGAGAATGTAACGTTTGAGAACTGTAATGCAAGAATGGCAAAAGTGAAAGGAGGCAGATTGTGCCTTTTGCATTACAAAAAATTCGGGACGAATTCTAGTGCTATTTAGTGCGTCGAGAAGTTGTCATGCGAAGAAGGCCTGACCGTCTGACGAGTGAGAGCGCTCTTGCATGACAAACCATGTAACAGCTGAGAATGTAACGTTTGAGAACGCCATACCGAGGCTTTCGGCGTTGCTCTCGATCACGTCCAAGGTCGACGCCAGGGCCATGGAAGGGCTTTTGGTATGAAAGTGCACAACTGCCCCTCCCCCTCTTTTGTCATGCAAAATCCTAAATCCAGCTGCTGCCTTGTAGCACTGTTTGCATGACAAATTCTGCAAGCCCAAACAGTATGAAGATCGCGCCCGGAGGGCGATATTGGTAACCAAATGCGTGCGCGAAAATCAAACCAGCGCGAAAGCCAAACCAGCCGCGCGGCGAAAGCGCGGCCCTGCAGGCCGCGCTTTCGCCGCGCGGCTGCCACCACCATTTTTTTTAATTAGAATCCCACTTCTTCTTCTTGAGCCGCGGGCCGCAGTTTGCGGGTCATCGGGGGCTTCCGGATTCGCATTCAAAAGGGCCGCGGACGACTACTGTCGCCCGCGGCGGCCCGCAGGCTCCTGCGATAAGCATTGAAGGCGAAATCCGGTCTGCTATTTCGCAGCGGGGCATCCTTTCTAGCCCCCTGCATGACAAACTGGCCTCCTGGCCAAGAAGGTATGCGGAAAGCCGAATCTCCGCGGACCCTTCCGGGCCACCAAAATCGGGCATTTCAGACGCGGCGGAGGTGCAGGATTTGTGCCCACAAACCAGGGCAAATAGGGATTTTGTGACATCCCTCCGCCCGCTTCTAATGCGTTTTTTTTTTCACAATCCCGATGGTATGGCGCGACCACGCGCCCGCCGGACCGCCCTTGGCGGCCAGTTTGTAAGCCTGCCGAGGGTTCTCGGTTTTTTTCAATTTTCGCTCTTTTTTGTGGTTCTTAGGTGGCCGAAGGGCTCCGGACATTTTCACCGACCGCAGCTGCCTGGCAGTTTCGGAGCCTGCGGAGGGATTGCGCTTTTGCGCATTTTTTTCTCTTTTTCTGGTTTCCAAGTGGCCCGGGCGACCTGGACATTTTTACCGCCCGCATCTCCCTGGCAGTTTTGAAGCCTGCGGAGGGATTGCGCTTTTGCGCCATTTTTCATCTTTTTTCATTTTCCAAGTGGCCCCAGCGACCTGCACATTTTTACCGCCCGCATCTGCCTGGCAGTTTTGAAGCCTGCGGAAGG